AGGCCGTGGTGAATGTTGATGATGTCTCAGCCGTACGAGGCCAAGAACCTGGGCGATAGCACCTGTGGGGGTTAGTGGGGAAGGATGGGATGGGCAAGGATGAAAGAGCGGGAGTGGAGGGGGAGGGGAAAGGGGGGGGATAAGCACAAGCGTCGTGGTGAATGTTGATGATGTCTCTGCCGTACGAGGCCAGAAACGTGGGAGATAGCACCTGGTTGAGTTGGGGGCCAGGATGAGGGCAGCACGGCGGATAGGTAGGGGTTGGTTGGCGCCTTTGAAGGAGGGGAAGGTGAGAGGATGGGTAAGGTAAGAGATTTGGTGGATGTTGATGATGCCGCTGGCATGGCTTTTGAGGATGTTGATGCGGCGCCTCAAAGGCTTGGTGGATGTTGATTGATGATGCCGCTGGCACGGGGCGAGAGAAGAAGACTTTGAGTTGACTCATAGGGCAAGAGCTTTGGTGGATGTTGATGATGCTCCTGACATGGGGCGAGAGAAGGAGAAGACATGGGAAGGAACGGGAGAGGCAAATGGCAGCAGGAGCAACACAAGACGGTGATAGACGAGTGACATGAATGGGCTCCACCCCACCCAGGTGCACGCACGCACGCACCCCAGCACACCCCCGCAAGAAATTGGAGAGGAACGGGCGAGGCGAATGGCAGCAGGAGAAACACAAGACGGTGATAGACGAATGACATGAATGGGCCCCACCCAGAGCACGCAGGCACGCACGCACCCCAGCACACCCCCGCAAGAAATTGGAGAGGAACGGGCGAGGCGAATGGCAGCAGGAGAAACACAAGACGGTGATAGACGAATGACATGAATGGGCCCCACCCAGAGCACGCACGCACGCACGCACCCCAGCACACCCCCGCAAGAAATTGGAGAGGAACGGGCGAGGCGAATGGCAGCAGGAGAAACACAAGACGGTGATAGACGAATGACATGAATGGGCCCCACCCAGAGCACGCACGCATGCACGCACCCCAGCACACCCCCGCAAGAAATTGGAGAGGAACGGGCGAGGCGAATGGCAGCAGGAGAAACACAAGACGGTGATAGACGAATGACATGAATGGGCCCCACCCAGAGCACGCACGCACGCACGCACCCCAGCACACCCCCGCAAGAAATTGGAGAGGAACGGGCGAGGCGAATGGCAGCAGGAGAAACACAAGACGGTGATAGACGAATGACATGAATGGGCCCCACCCAGAGCACGCACGCACGCACGCACCCCAGCACACCCCCGCAAGAAATTGGAGAGGAACGGGCGAGGCGAATGGCAGCAGGAGAAACACAAGACGGTGATAGACGAATGACATGAATGGGCCCCACCCAGAGCACGCACGCACGCACGCACCCCAGCACACCCCCGCAAGAAATTGGAGAGGAACGGGCGAGGCGAATGGCAGCAGGAGAAACACAAGACGGTGATAGACGAATGACATGAATGGGCCCCACCCAGAGCACGCACGCACGCACGCACCCCAGCACACCCCCGCAAGAAATTGGAGAGGAACGGGCGAGGCGAATGGCAGCAGGAGAAACACAAGACGGTGATAGACGAATGACATGAATGGGCCCCACCCAGAGCACGCACGCACGCACGCACCCCAGCACACCCCCGCAAGAAATTGGAGAGGAACGGGCGAGGCGAATGGCAGCAGGAGAAACACAAGACGGTGATAGACGAATGACATGAATGGGCCCCACCCAGAGCACGCACGCACGCACGCACCCCAGCACACCCCCGCAAGAAATTGGAGAGGAACGGGCGAGGCGAATGGCAGCAGGAGAAACACAAGACGGTGATAGACGAATGACATGAATGGGCCCCACCCAGAGCACGCACGCACGCACGCACCCCAGCACACCCCCGCAAGAAATTGGAGAGGAACGGGCGAGGCGAATGGCAGCAGGAGAAACACAAGACGGTGATAGACAAGTGACATGCATGGGCCCCACCCCACCCAGAGCACGCACCCCAGCACACCCCGACACACTCCAACACCCGTCAGCACCCCTCGCCAACCCTCACCACTCCTCACCACCCCTTGCCACCCCGCACCACCATTCCTCACCTGCATGTATCTAGCGAGCACGAGGAAGTCGGTGTGGGAGCCATGCACAAGTTCAAGAATGTCATCTTCGCGCTTGTTGCCCGTGGAGGGGTCCACGGGTAGATGGTGGAAGGGGATGCCGTGCCGGTCCAGGAAGCGCCGCACGTGCGTGTTCTCACTGCGCGGGTGGTTGCTGTGGTGTGTGGTGGTGTGCGGTGGTGTGCGGTGGTGTGTGGTGGTGTGCGGTGGTGCGTGGTGGTGTGAGGCGGGTAGGATGGGAGGGAGGAAGGGATGGGTTGAGTGCGATGGCGAGGTGTTGCTGCTGTTGGAACGGCAGTGCAGTGAGGCTTTTGAAGGGTCTGCCTGCAGGCAAAAGATTCGAGACTTATGTGGGAAGGGAAAGCGAAGGTCCGAAGCGGGCGCATGCGTGACTGGATTCACGGTGCAGAGTGCAAATTGCAAGGTGCAGAGTGCAAATTGCAAGGTGCAGAGTGCAAATTGCAAGGTGCAGAGTGCAAATTGCAAGGTGCAGAGTGCAAATTGCAAGGTGCAGAGTGCAGTCTGCAGAGAGCAGGGCGGAGGGATCTGCGGGCAGGGGGAAGGGTCCAGGCGAAGCTTGTGTGTGTGGGAAGGGAACCACAAGTCAGAAGTGTGGGTCCATGCAGGCGAGGCATGCATGGATACGATGTGCTGTGCAGAGTGCAGCGCGCAGGGAGGAAGGCCCAGAGAACAGGGAGGAGGGTGCAGGTTGCAATGGCAGTGGGTGCAGTGGGTGCAGTGGGTGCAGTGGGTGCAGTGGGTGCAGTGGGTGCAGTGGGTGCAGTGGGTGCAGTGGATGCAGTGGGTGCAGTGGGTGCAGTGGGTGCAGTGGGTGCAGCGGGTGCAGTGGGTGCAGTGGGTGCAGCGGGTGCAGTGGGTGCAGTGGGTGCAGCGGGTGCAGTGGGTGCAGTGGGTGCAGCGGGTGCAGTGGGTGCAGTGGGTGCAGTGGGTGCAGTGGGTGCAGCGGGTGCAGTGGGTGCAGTGGGTGCAGTGGGTGCAGCGGGTGCAGTGGGTGCAGTGGGTGCAGCGGGTGCAGTGGGTGCAGTGGGTGCAGCGGGTGCTTGCCTGATAACGCAGTGAATGTCGACAGGGAGAACCCCCTCCTGCCAGCGATACAGTAGATCCACTAGGCAGTGGTCCTGATGCCGTGCCATGGCCGCATGGCAGGGAAGCAGGGAGGGACGGAGGGCGGGAGGGAGGGAGGGATGGAGAAAGGGAATGGTCATTAGTGGTGTTTTTGATCATACAAACACAACATCAACATAAACATCAGCATCAGCATCAGCATCAGCATCAGCATCAGCATCAGCGCATCAGCATCAGCATCAGCATCAGCATCAGCATCAGCATCAGCTTCAGCATCAGCATTAGCATCAGCATCAGCATTAGCATCAGCATCAGCATCAGCATCAGCATCAGCATCAGCGCATCAGCATCAGCGCATCAGCATCAGCGCATCAGCATCAGCATCAGCATCAGCATCAGCATCAGCATCAGCATCAGCGCATCAGCATCAGCATCAGCATCAGCATCAGCATCAGCGCATCAGCATCAGCGCATCAGCATCAGCGCATCAGCATCAGCATCAAGATCAGCATCAGCATCAGCATCAGCATCAGTATCAGCGCATCAGCATCATCATCAGCATCAGCATCAGGATCAGCATCAGCATCAGCATCAGCATAAGCATAAGCGCATCAGCATCAGCATCAGCATCAGCATCGGCATCGGCATAAGCGCATCAGCATCAGCATCAGCATCAGCATCAGCATCGGCATCGGCATCGGCATCGGCATCGGCATCGGCATCGGCATCGGCATCGGCATCGGCATCGGCATCGGCATCGGCATCGGCATCGGCATCGGCATCAGCATCAGCATCAGCATCAGCATCAGCATCAGCATAGGCATAAGCGCATCAGCATCAGCATCAGCATCAACATCAGCATCAGCATCAGCATCAGCATCAGCATCAGCATCAACGCATCAGCATCAGCGCATCAGCATCAGCATCAGCATCAGCATCAGCGCATCAGCATCAGCGCATCAGCATCAGCATCAGCATCAGCATCAGCATCAGCATCGGCATAAGCGCATCAGCATCAGCATCAGCATCAGCATCAGCATCAGCATCAGCATGAGCATCAGCGCATCAGCATCAGCGCATCAGCATCAGCATCAGCATCAGCATCAGCATCAGCATCAGCATCAGCATCGGCATCAGCATCAGCATCAGCATCAGCGCATCAGCATCAGCATCAGCATCAGCATCAGCATCAGCATTAGCATCAGCATCAGCATCAGCATCAGCGCATCAGCATCAGCATCAGCATCAAGCATCAGCATCAGCATCAGCGCATCAGCATCAGCATCAGCATCAGCATCAGCATCAGCATAAGCATCAGCGCATCAGCATCAGCATCAGCATCAGCATCAGCATCAGCACCAGCATAAGCATCAGCGCATCAGCATCAGCGCATCAGCATCAGCGTCAGCATCAGCATCAGCATCAGCGCATCAGCATCAGCATCAGCATCAGCATCAGCATCAGCATCAGCATCAGCATCAGCATCAACATCAACATCAACATCTTCGTTACACACGATTGGGTGGGCTTCTGAGAGGAGCTTCACAGCATCCACATCACAAACACTGCACAGAACACTCCCATATTCTTCATCCTTCCCACCCCACCCACCCGCCCCTGCCAAACCCCCGTCCAACCCCAACCCCCCCGCCCTCTACCTTCCACCCCACCTGCTGCGACACCAGCACGGCCATGCGCGGGCGCTTGTCCGACTTTTGAGGCGCCGCAAACCTTGTCCGAGGCCATGACGTGCACCTTCGATTCGACCTCTCCGAGCCCAGCTCTCCGGCCTTTGCAGTGTTCACGTCACCCCTTCCCCCAGTTCCCCCCCCTCTCCCCACCCTCTCCCATCCCCACCTGCTGTGACACGAGCACGGCCATGCGCAGGCGCTTGTCCGACGCCATGACGTGCACCTTGGACCTCTCTGCTCCCAGCTTCACTGTGCTTACCCACCCAACCCTTCCCCCCCAGAGGGCCTCTGCATTGTTTAGGTCACCCCTTTCCCCACTACCCACCACCCCCCCACCGTCTCCCCCGCAACCCACCTGCTGCGACACGAGCACAGCCACGCGCAGGCACTACTTGTCCTGTGCCATGACATGCACCTTGGACCTCTCTGCTCCCAGCTCTCCGGCCTTTGCAGTGTACATGTCATCCCTTCCCCCACTCCTCCCCCCCCACCCCACCGTCTCCCCCATCCCACCTGCTGTGAAACCAACACGGCCATGCGCAGGCGCTTGTCCGATGCCATGACGTGCACCTTTGACCTCTCCGCGCCCAGCTCCGCGCCCAGCGCTGCAAAGTCCTCCTGCATCTGCTGCCGCGGCCACCGCGCCGGGTCAAACGAGAACTCACTGCACGGGGGAGGGGTGAGGAGGGGGGGAGGGGGGAAGATGGGGGAGATGGAGGACAAGGGAAGGAGGGAGAGGGGGAACGGGGAGTGGAGCCTGCTTTTGAGTCGACTCAAAGTCCTCATGCATCTGCTGCCGCGGCCACCTCGCCGGGTCAAACGAGAACTCACTGCACGGGGGGGGGAGGGATGGGGGGAAGTGGGAGAGATGGGGGAGATGGGGGGCGAGGGAAGTGGGGAATGGGGGAATGGGGAGTGGAGGGGATGGGGGGTTGGGGAGTGGGGGGAGGGGTGAGAGGGATGACTGGTGGGAGATGCAGGAGTGGGGAGATGACCGGTGGGGGATAACTGAATAGGAAAGAAGGGGACTCCTGCAGGAAGGCACAACAAAAAAACATCACAACCTACCTGCTGCTTGCGTAAAGTACTAATGAAACGCCCCCACCAGGAATACAACACTCATGAACAAGCACCGGCAGTTTGCCTTGCCTGCAGGGCTACCATACGCGTTATAAGGCACCTGCGGGAGTAGTAGATGGGCGTGGGAGCCTCAAAGTCGATGTGCAGATCCACGTTGAGAAGATTCGCGTGCCTCGACGCCACGCACTCCGATATGCGCGCCACTATTCCCAGCCGGTCCTGCTCTTTGCCAACAGTTTAAGATACATGCATATCGGAGAAGGGAGGGCGTAAGAGAACACAAATATTCGTTCCATATTGGAATATGCTTGAAGCAATGGCGGAGGGAGATGCAGGAGAACGATGCAGAAAGACGAGAAAGGGCGGAGCTGCTGTGAATGGGCGAGAGCTGGACAGCGGCTCGTCGCTTCCAAGGCTTCTGATCGTGCTGCGGAGTCATGCATGCGATGCGTCTTGCGTGCGTGACGATCACCTTGCATTGAAACACGTGCACGCCGTGCGACCGCTGTCTGCTCGCTCCCGGTTCCACAGCCGCCGCATTTCCAGCCGCCGCCTCTCCGCGTCTCCCTACTGCCCCCGCGCCCAGTCCGCCGCCAGCCCCCGCGAATTGCGCCGGCTTCAGCGGCAGCGCCTGCTGTTGCAGTCTCTCCGGCGACCAATCTAAGGATGGCGGACTGACAGGTGTGGCGGGATTGGAGTCCTTCGCAGAAGTTGCAGCGGAAGGGACGGAATGCGGCGGGGAATCGAAGTGGCGAGAAGGGGTGAACGGGTGGAGAGGGTAGTTACCAGAGCACAGGCCGAGCCAGGGAGTTCGGGTGTGGCGAGCGCGGGCGGAGAGGGCGACAGCGGCAGCAGCTAATTTGGCCGCCATAACAGAGTCGCTGTGCTGTGGTATTGCCTGCTCGAAAATTGATGGGTTGGCGTTATCAAGGTTTCGAGCATCGAGGTTGTCGACAGATGATTCGCTATTGATTCGCGCGCGGTACTTTTTGAAGTTTAGGTATTCGTCAGTCGGATATAGTAAGTAATCAGCATCAGAAAGAGTCAAACTATAAATCATAACTACACACAATGTTATCAGCTAAAATACTTCAAACTAGTTAATATCCTCATTGAATCAACCGAGCCCTTTAAGCATCACTTAGTATCCTACTCTATAAACTGCAACTTACTTCACAAACTCCATACCTGCTCCCCTGGAAGCAACACCAACGCCCCCCAACTTCTCCTTCCTCCTTAAGCCGTCAGTTCCCACCGCTATCAGACCGCCATCATGGGAAAACTTCATCCCTGGAGCCAGACTCATGCGCCCACGCCTGGATGCTGCACCTCCAGCAGCACGAACCCTCTGTGCTCCACCACCATGCGCTTTCACACCACTTGAGCCCACTGCACTGCTTCCCTTGAGAGCGAGAACAGGTGCAGCTGTTATGGCTGCAGCTGATGCTGCTGCTGCAGCTGCTGCGGTGGCTGCTGCGGTGGTCCCTCCAACCCTCGCCCCACTGCCAATGAGGCTGCCACTGCCATGGGCAGCAGGCCTCCTCAGACCAGACGGAGGGAGGCCATCATGCACTGCTGCTGCTGCTGCTGCTGCACCACCAGATAGAGTCTTGTGCAGTGAAGGGATTGCTGATGGCATGGGTGCAGTTAGCCCTGACTTACGCACAGCATGTGGTCTGACAGCGCTGCCAAATGCAGTAGGAGGAATGCCATGGCGGAGTGCAAGCGGTGCTGTTACCTCGTGCCCTTTCTCTCCAGCAGCAGCAGAAGCAGCAGCAGTCCCAGCAGTGAACACATGGTAGTGCTGAAGCGGCACCAGCTGCTGTTGACGCGTTCCCTGCTCCTCCTCCTCAACCTTCTTCTCACCACACACATCCACACCCTCGGCATCACAAGCCACGCTCGTCTTGTCTCCTTCAGCTGCTGCACCGGCACTGCCATTCGGATTGCGCTTCAACCCCTTGGTCACATCGGCAGACTGCCTCCTCCACTCGTCATACCACTCCCGCCCGACCACCACTTTGTTCACTCGCAGCCCAGCCAAAGGTGGCCTGCCAGGCTTCCGGGTTTTCACCGCCCCTACTGCATCCAGCTCCGTTCCGGAAGTCTTTTGGTCGCCATCCATCCCAGCTCCTGACTCCTCTAGCCTCTCCAGCCTTTCTCCGATCTCCAACCCAACAGCATCAGTCGCCGTGGCCCTACGCAGCATCATCTTCTTGGCAGCGGGTGCATAACCTAGCATAGCATAGTCGTCCCATGCTTCACGTCGCCTCTCCCCCTTGCCACAGCCCGCCCATGCACCTCCAGTGCGGCTTCCAGGAAGCACAGATAGGGACATCCTTCCAGTCCGCTTGCGAGCCACACGCACAGCTTCGGCCGCTTCTGCTACTGCATCAGAGCCAGCGCCAGCGCCAGCATAGCCTCCATCAGCAGCAGCAGCAGCAACAACAGAAACACCTGTTTCCGTCGTGGAGCAAGAAGCAGATCTCGAAGGAATCTTGCTCCCCAGCAACCTTGCCTTGGGAACTCCGGAAGCTGTCACTGCCACAACTGCCTTCTGAGCGGATGCCCCTCCTGCAACAGAGGATCCTGCAGGAATCCTAGCCGGGACTCTGCCTGGCCCCACCCGTTTCTCAGAAGCACCAGTGGCAGCACCTGCTCTACCCTTCACGGCATCTGCAGTCTGGGAGACCACTCTGTCACCAGCCTGCTTCAGAACCACACCACCCTTCTCCTCCTCCTGTGCAGACTCAGACGCAGAAGCTTCAGCAATCGGCTCTGGGCGGGGGCCAGAAATCTCTTCCGTACTGGCATCATCAGCGGCAGCAGCAGCAGGAGCAGTAGACGCAGTAGCAGCGCCAACAGAAGCACTGACCTCCCCTGCATCACTGGTCTGCTCCAGGCTCGCATCACAGTGGGGCTCGTGCTCACCCTTCTCCTCCTCTGCCTGTGGCCCTAGCAGAGCCACCTGAAGTGAGTCTGCTGAGACTGATGGCTGCTTGGAAAAGTCTGCCTTGGCCTGCTGCAGCTGTTGCTGCTGCTGCTGCTGTTGCGCCTGTTGCAGCGCACGCGCCTTCTCCTTTTCCAGAGCATCCATCAGGTCCTGATATTCCTTCTGGCGCTCCTGGATCTGCTCGGGCAAGCACGTGAATGAAAAAAACACTTGCACAAATAAGCAATGGTTGCACTGCACAGACATTCAGCAGGACACTGATGCCAAACAAACCCATTCGCGTGCACAGCTATTTTCCAACAGACAAATGGGTCACGACTCATGAGTCAAAGGACATATACTGACCTGCATCTGCAGTTCTGAGACAAGCTTCTCCTTCTCCGTGGCTGTCTTGCGCCTCACTTCCTCCAGCTCCTCGCTCTGCTTCTGATACGCATCCTTCACCTCCTTGCAGTCAGCCTTGGCCTTCTCCAGCTGTTTGACATACCAAAAAGGGAATCACAGCAAAGGGATAAGTCAAGACGCTCGCACATGCGTACGGCAAAGGTCCGAGCACAGAAGCTGTACCATAGGGAAAACCGAGCTAGACGAGTGCAGCGACAAGAGCACATACCGCTTGCTTGAGTCGGGGAACGTCGGTCTGCTTCTTGCTAGCGCCGAAGTCCACCCCGCGCACCCGGCAGGCGAACTGCAGCGAGCACACGGTCTCCACAGTGTCCTTGTCACTCGGGCTGACCTGCACGAACATGAGCACCTTGGCGTTCCCTTCCAGCGAGTCCTGCAGCAGCATCGTCAGCTTGCAGTTCCTGCCACACAAACAAAACAAAAGAGCATCACGTTAGAGATTATTTCCTTCTCGTTTCTTTTCTCGTTTCCTTCTTCACGAAAATGACACAATAGACTGATCACTAGCTCTAAAACAGACTCCAAGTAACAGCTCTCTAAACCACGGGCTTCCAATGAGCAACTCACCTGAAGTTGACGAAGCTGGCGCGTTTGGCGAGGGCGTTGATGACCTCTCCCAGGTACGAGAGCGACAGGTTGATGTTCTGCGCCTCCTTGAGCCGCTCGCCCTCCGCCTCGCTCTTGCCCACGCGCTCGCTGCCCGCCAGGTCCACCAGCCACAGGCGACTCACTGTCCCCGCACTCGCACTTGCATCGGAGCCTCCTGCTCCCTCCTTCTCCTTGCTGGACCGCAGGAACGCCGCTGGCTGGGCGTGCACGGACACGCAGACGAGGCTGCAAGCACCACAAGCGAGAGGCAGAAAGCTTCAATTAGCCACAAGCGAGAGGCACAAGGGAAGTTTCACGCACTACTGGAAAAGGAACGCAAGACAGAAAGAGGCTGGCCAGCAGGTGGAGAGGCACGCACCAGTGGGATCGGCTGGAGTGCTCGTTCATGCTGGTGGCGCTGGTGGCACGCGCCTTGGAGCCGGACGTGAGCACCTTCCATGCGTCCTCCACACTCCCCACCTCCTGCTCCACCAACCCAGGCACGTAGTTTCCACCCTCTGGCCTCTGCTTCACATCCAGACCCCTGACCAAACAAAATAAAAACAGAGGAGCATCGAGTTAGCGTCTCTGCGACGAAATATGCACCCTCTGCGCAGAAACGAACGCTCTCTTACTTCTTGTTGTTGGGTGCAGCGTGTCCGCCGGTTGGAGCTAGCAGGTCGCGAATGGTGTCGTTGTAGACCTCCAGCACGCTCACCACGATCCTGACACCAACAGACCATGCCATGAAAATCAATGTCAAGAAGCCATACCACGAAACAGAGGGAACGCATTAGCACGATCAGAGTGATTGCTTCTAATTCCACGAGAAAAAAAAAAAAAAAAAATCGCATTCGCAAGAACAAAATTTACTTACGCAACTCATCTCCGCTGCTACCCCCTTCCCCATCAAATCCCTCACGTACTTGTACTCCATGCTGTCCCGTCGCTCCTTCGCCAGTCGGAACAGCTCCTGCAGCGTACGGAACGACACGCCCCTGTTCTCCGCGGGGCCCTCCATCGTGTACGTCTTGCCCGTGCCCGTCTGCCCGTACGCGAAGATGCACACGTTGTACCCGTCAAGAACCGACGTGATGACGTCAGCTGCCTCCTTGAACACTTGAGCTGTTACACACAACCACGACAAGGTACGTACGCGACAAGGCACATCGGCATCAGAAACAACTCTCGCTCCAACGTCCACCAACCAATCGATATCATCGTGAAGCTAGAAAACGGGACTGCAGATTTTACCTTGACTGGTGGTGGGAGAGAAGACCCGGTCGAACTCAAACACCTTGCTCTGTCCGTCCTTGGCTGACCGCACCGACACCATCTGGCTGCCATGAGGATCGGAATCCAGCAGCACTGCCGGCTGAGCACCAAACTTTTCCTCAACCTCTGACAGCGGCCTCGCACGGCAGAACACACGGATGCTTCCTGCAGAAATTGGACGACATTGAAACAAAACATATTGATAACAGACGGCATGATCCTGGACAACATGAGACGAGACCGAATTGAACGATTTTGGACGCTATTGAATGACTTGGAACGACAGTATGCACAAATTATGGTGTAGGAGTCGGAAAATGACGGTGAACGAATGCAGTGCAGGGAAGGCAGAATACCTTTAAGGTCGATGAGGTCGTTCTGTAGCTTCTTCCGTTTCTCTGCCTCTTGGAAAAACTTCTTCCGAATGGCCTCTTTCTCCTCCTCTGCAGGCCAATCACCGGAAAAAAGCAACCATTTTAGCGGTTTCTTCCAAAGTCCAATGGAATTTCATAAGTTCAGTGCTTATGGTTGCGTACCGATCAAGGATAGGCTACGGAAGACAGTACTGAAAGACGCGAGATGCTCTTGCTGAGTGATTGCGAGCTCCCTCGCCTGAACCTCCACATCCGCCTTGTCCTCTCGAAGAGCCTGAATTCAGGAAATAGGCGAAATGATAAGTTTGATATATAATTTTCAATCTGACGCTGCCATTGATGCAAGAACTTCGTGAGGATATATCCGTTACCTGTAGCTCGGACTGCATTCGCATGAGCTTCTGATGCATCTTCTGCTGAAGGCCTTCCAGTTGCTCCTTCAAAAGAGTATTCTGGCCCTCTGCCATGTAATAACTACCAGTTAGCCAGTGTTGACCAAAAAGCGGGCTCGGCAACAAGAAATCGGTGGATCACTGTGTTATTACCTGCGTCAGCCAGCTTGCGGCCCTGAGCAGCTAGCTTATCGCGAACGGCCGTGAGTTCGCGTTTCTGCTGCTGCAACAATGATCTGACATTTGAGGTCTCCGACTTGGCCTTCGACAACTCCTCCTTCGCTCGGCGATTCTTCTCCTTCAACTGAAATTCCCAGGGGAAGAAAACACTTCATCAACGTCGGGGACTACGAGTAAGACGTTGGTAAAAACGACAGATGGAAGTACTATAAACACGCTTTCGTTTATACCTCTTCAATCTTGCGAGCTAAATCCATCTTCCTGGCCTCCAACGACTTCTCCAAGTCATCTCTACCGGTGTTCATCTTCTGTACCACGCGTTCAAGCTGCTCCACCTTGTTCCGTAGCTTCTCGTTCAACTCCCGCTCTTTAGCCAGCTCCTCTTGCAGCCGCTGATCCGCGATCCATTTCTCTGCGAAGTTAATAAAAATCACGCAAAAGAAAGCAAAACAATGTTAAATAGAAACACGTTAGACCTCAGGCTTGATTATGAATCCATGTTATGAGATTGAAAAAATCATCGCATGACGCGTCAGTGCAACTGTACCTGTATTGAAGTTTATTGGATCATCTTGATCTTCACTCAGAACCGTTCCTGGAGCCTCTTCAACAGTCTGATTATCATCCTTCGTAGAATCCACCCAAGCAGCAACGTTCGTGAGTTCCTTGACATCTGCTTTCAAGCAACCTTCTGATTCATCCTCTGCTTCCTCTGTGGAGGCACCGTCACAGCTTTGATAGTCCGAGATTGTAGACGGTCTATCTCGTGTATCAAGCTCTGTGTCTTCAGCTTCATCCTCTTCTTTCTTCGTATCCTCATCAACAGGCAGGAGCAATACACCCTTGGCTCCCCCAAGTGGGCTCGTCATGGCACGGTGTGACTGCGAATCCTCCTTGACACGCTTGGCGACTGGCGACGAATGCTCTGCTGCGGACTGTTCCAAACCGGCCGTTGCTGGTGCTTCATTTTCGGAATCGTCAGCGGAGATGCTGGCAGCTTCCGTCCTACTGGGAGACTGGTTTGAGTCAACGCAGGTTGACTCAGGAGCTTTGGTCTCTACGTCAGTCTGACTAGCTGTGAAACTGTTGGTTTTGCTTTCTGCCGGTTCCAAGGGACAAGTGCTAGCGGCCTCCAAACTCATGCTGTTATCCGGAATTTCCTCCTCAGTAATCTGCCTCACGACCTCAGTTGATTCTTGTGCTAGGCTCCCCTCACTAATCTGGCATGTGGTTGGTGCTTGACTAACCTTAATCTCCTTCCCGTCTTCCACTGCCATGACCTATGTGCACGCAGAGGACAACTATAGTTTGTCCAACAACGATATGGTGCTGTCGAAAATGCTAAGGTAGAGTGTGTCTCAGTCAGACGGCCTTTGCGATGGAGTTAAATGTCAGTTGATGGATTGCGAGCAAGGGATTAGTTCTTCCGCCTCTCCAGAACGAACAGCAAGACGAAAGCAATCTCAGGATCAATGTAGAGGTACCACTTCACAATGGTCCCCTTCTCGATTGAGTTGTGTGTGTCACTGCAAATTCGTGAACTGGTGCTCCCAGCTTCATTCCTTGCGTCCTCCTGTCATCCTGTCTTTCTGATCTCAACGAGCCGCATTCGCTCCTGCCTGCAATCCTGTACCCAAGATTTCCCGCCTGTGGCATTCTCATGCAAAATTGGCAGAGGTGTCTGAGCAGTGGAAGTTTGAATTCTGCGCGGGAACAGTCAGAGCCAGACGCTCCGATACAGCACCTCGGTTATGAAAATTGAGACCTAACAAAGTCGGCCATATCATCACAAGGCTAAACATCGAACATGCACATAATGATGCTTATGTACTTTTGAACTGAGTTATGAAGACTACCTGAAACTATTTTCTATACATCATTTTTCATTTCTATAGTGCCACTGCTGGTCAATCATTTCTATAGTGCCACTACTAATGTTTATGCATTTGAGTGAGGAACGGAAACTACTAGTATATATTCGTTTTCACTGCCGCGCACCATAACGGAAACAATGTTCACGGGGATCTGTGTGACAAGGCGACTAGCTCATTGCACAACCAAGATCCAGAGATGTTTTCAGGTGTGTTTCCAGCAAACACATCTCCTGAAACCGTTCCATCATTCCGACGACATTCCGAAGTCATTATTCTCCTCTCTCCCTGCCGGACTTCACGCCCACAGCCTCCTTGCTGTTTAGTTGCGACGTTGTGCCTTGTAGCGTCGTGCGCCCACAATGACGGGTGTCGGATACGCTGGCTCAGGCGGTCAACAACCAATAGCACGAAATCAAGCCCCTCAGAAGCCGTTGTACAACAAGGAGAGACCTGATGAACACGCGAAATACCTCAAGAAACATCAGCATGATGAACAGGCCACAAGTGAGCGTCTATCCGTCCACCTTCATGGCACTCTGGAGTCTGGATGTTTCCGAACCACCTTCAAGTGATGACTCGATAAGTTCGAATTAAGGAACTTTGACGTGTGTCGTTCTCTCTCTCTTACCTATTTCTAGGCAGTTCTTGACCCCTCAACTCGCTGCTCCACTGTTACATCTTTAACCTCATTTCTAGAGGAGTCAAGGTCATATTTTTTCCTCCCACTTCCCTCGTTCCTGAATCTGTTGCAGCTACACCACTTAGCCTCGTGGTTGGCCCATCCGCTCCTGTTGGAGATCATTTTTCGGACTCACAACCAGCCGACGTGCAGCATGGCAAGGCTTCCCATAATCACCACAGTGGTAGCCACTTTCACAGTCTTCAAGCCCCAGTGCAGCGTCCAGACCATATTGTTCCCATAGTGGGCCCGCATTAGTGAACATTGTTTCGTTTCGTCACTCTCTCAGCGCACTCTCTGTTGTTAACTCTCTCTCCTGATATCTCTCCCCTTATCTTCCTAACTTCCTACCTTCTTTATTTTTCTCCCCGCCTTCCCATGATACTCCCCCATCCCCCCGACTGCCCCCACCTTTCATCCCTGTTTCTTTCTCTATCTCTTCCTTGGTGTGTCCCTGTACCCTTATCTGTAACCCCCTTCTCCACGTAGCGTTGTTGTTCTTTGCCCCCTGCTTTTCACACCCCTCCGATGCTGACACAACAATACAGCTGTACTAGTCTTAAATAAGCATTGAAATATCAAATGCAAAGGGTTATTTGTGGATTTCACTGAAAGGTCCTTGTTCATGCATAAAGTGAGATAAGCTTGAAATGTGAAGGTTTCTGTCTAGTGCAATTATATTCAATAACGTTTCCCAATGTCAGGAAACCTAGGGTGACGTCAAAATGTCATACGCCTTATAGGTGCCGAATCTGGATATGACGTACTATTACGTGGCAGATCGCACATGTTCCAGCTGGTACACCAACCTTGCACTGTTTCATTTCGTGTAGTCGAGTTCCATCGAAATTCGTGATATTCCGCGAGCTATCCCTATTCCCGAAGTCATTCCGCCGTCGCCTGAACAAAAGTCCGGCTCAAGTTGCAGCTTCACAACGCAGCGGAACGAAACACACCCGACTTTCTTCCTCCGCGCATCCAGCCGTGCTTCGTTTTCCCATTCTCGTTCCCCCCAAGCCGCCGAGCCGCCAGGCAGCTCAAGCTGGTTCGTCGAACCCACATTCTTTCGCGTGGTCGCCACTCCTTCGCCAGGACCTAGAGCGGACTTCCGCTGCGCCGGCGCCAGCGCCAGCCCCACCCTTCCCCCCTCCCCTCCCCTCTCCCTTCCCCAGCCAATCCCATTCCTTCGCATTATATTTCAGTGCGCTTGCCCAATGCCAGTCATCATCGCCGCCAGTTGCGGCGAACATCGGAATCCCAAAGGAACGCGTTTCTTGATTCCGTCCTTCCCACCCATTGGCTCAGCCACTGAGGTGGACGGCGTCCTTCTCGTACGTTCAGCGAAATTCATCGTTTCATCCATCCTCCTCGCCTTCCCCGCCCCTCCTTCCACATGACTTGCAGCCTTCTTTCTTACTGTACTGAACAGAAGCACCCAGACCAGAGACGCGATACTGTAATTCACGAGAAATGGATGCAGTCAAGCACGCAATATGTGTCAACGTGGCAAGTTCTTACTGCAGGCGACCTAAACCTGCGACACTTCTGAAGAAAGGCGGCTGCACTATTCAGTATCTAAGTTCAACCATGTGTAGCCCGAGGCTGCCGGATTCTTCTGACCTTCTGTGCTGCCATGCATGTGTACCCACAGCAGCACCATTCTCGCATCACATGGCATAACAACAGAACTCCTTGCGCCCCCCGTTTAGCCTCGTCCCCCACATCTCACCGTCCCACATTCGCATTCATCCCGATGCTCGTTCTTCCTTCGAGGCATCTGTCTGATCCCTTCCCTACGCCACGCGAGAATTTAGCTCATATAATCGCATAGACCTTATCTTATTCAGTCCGTTCGAGAACCGCAGATGACTACTACAAGCCAGACTAGAAGCGCTAGTCAGCAACGACTGTATCAGTACGGACATCTCCCTGAAGGTTCAAGATAACGCCCATCAGAGTCGGCCCGATTTCCAGTTGTCTGATGCGCGCGCTCCCAATCGTCACAACTGGAAGCGCCCACCGCTGCTCGTTGCATTGTTAATTTATCTATCTCCAAGCCTCGGACGGATTCTTCATCGCCATATTGCCGTCCAGTGAGTCCGAGCACGAGCGGCGCGAGTGAGCCCGTTTTAGGCGCGAGTGAGCCCGTTTGGCGGCACTGAATGCACACGGCGCCACATGTCATCCGCCGTGTGTTGCGCGCTGCGCTCGCGCTGGACTTAACATCTCATAGTACCGCCTACTGGGCTTGCAATGGCGGCCATAATCCATCGTTTTGCCCCTACATTCTAAACTTTAAGGAATCCTGAGACATCGGCTACTACGATAATCATTTCGGAACCCTCCTGCGGCCAAAAAGGCCTAGATTTGCGGTGGAAACACGCAGCAGGAGACGCGAGGGGGGGAACTAGCCAACCAAGTCAACAAGCTACAGCTAAGAACTGCCGGTGTCTACGATCCCCACTGCTAGCAATGGCGGATGTGCGCATCTCCCGCAACCGCGACAGCGACCATGGACGGGCTGTCGTCGCGGAATCGGCGCATGCCACGTCCGCGGCTATTCCGCGTCAAGATCATCACTCTGCCGCGCATCCTCTTCAGTGCGAAAGGCCATTCGTCCAGCGTCAGGTGCCGCACGCGCTGCCGCAACAGCCCCCGCAGACGTTCCACCAGCAGCAGCAGCAGCAGCAGCCGCAGCAGCAGAAGGAGGAAGACGCAGGCTTCGTTTTTCGCCCATGTGGACCCCAGCCGCCGCCGGCGCCGCCGCTGACGGTCGCAGCGACTGCGACGGCCAGGAGCGCTTTGGACGTAGCGACAGGCCCCGCAGCAGTCGGAGGACTGACTTCAGGTCGCGGGGTTTGCGCCTCGGGCCCTCTAAGGCTGCCCCGGAATCTGCCCGCTCCCCCGTTCGCTACAATCCCCTCCGCCTCTTCCATCTCCTTCTCCGCTTCTCAGGACAAACCGCTCGCATTGCGCCTCCCTGTCGGCGCCGCCGGCACCGCCGCCGCATGTCCCCGCGCTGCGGCCGCCACGGGCGCTTCTGTCGCGGCTCCTTTATGCTCTCCTTCGATATACTCCTCAAGCAACTCGTCTCCCTCCGCGTCGCTCCCGCTCACGCCCACTTCCGTCCCGCCCCTCCCGGCTTCCCTCCCCCCGTCGCTGCCGTCCGCCGCCGACTCTGCCGTCGCGCAGTCCGGCGGAACATCTGTTTTCGCCATTGCCCGCCAGCGCCTCTCCCGCTGCGCCGACGGAACATCCGCGAGAGGTTCCGCCAGCGGCGCGGGCGTCTGCGATGGCGGCGGCGGCGCCGCGCCGGCGGATCGTTCAGCGTCGTTTTCGTCGCTCGGGGCTGGGTCGCTGACCGTCGCAGGGACGCACGCGACGCACGCGACTCAGGCGACTCAGGCGACTCAGGCGACTCAAGCGACTCAGGCGACTCAGGCGCACGCGAACGCTGGAGGAGCGCTGGAGGAACCAACTACAGCTGCTACAGCCGGCGCAGCTGCTTGTGCTGCCGCCCAGGCATCGGGTGCTGCAGCGACTGCTGGTGGTGGTGACTCAGCTCCATCGATTGGCGACAAACGTGCTCCTGCCTCCACCCACCACATGCGACTGGTGCTGCCGACTCTCACGCTCCCATCAACCCACCCCTCCTCTTCTGCTCCCTCCTCTCCTCCACTTCCACGTCTTCCTCCTACACCCTCCCCTCCTACGCCAACTCATGTTCCTGCTGGCGCTGCTGCTGGTGCTGCTGCTCCTCCTTCCCCCTCTGCACTCCCCCTGCTCTCTGCCTCGCTCTCCTCCTCCTGCTCTCGCCCTCTGCGCCTTCCTCCCGGCCTCTGCTTCCCTCAGACTCCCTCCGCGCCTGCTGCGCCTGCTGCGCCTGCCGTCCTCCCGGGCTCGCTGGCAGATGCTAGCCCAGTGCATCCCGGCACAGTGGCAGCAGCAGCAGCAGCAGCAGCAGGTGGAGAGGGAGGGGATGAGATGGGGACGGGGAGAGGGAGTGCGACTGCCAACGAGGTGGAGAAATCAGCAGCCATTGCACCAACGGTCGCAGCAGCAGCAGCAACGGCACCGGCACCGGTAGCGGCAGCGGCAGCCGAAGTTGCAGCAGCAGCAGCAGCAGCAGCAGGCGATGGAAGTTTCGCTGATTTTGATGCTCAGACAGCGGAGGAGAGCGGTGGCGGCGGTGGTGCTGGTGCTGCTGGTGGTGGTTGTGGAGAGAAGAGGGGCGGTGCGAGTGCGGAGCAGCAGAGGGGGAGAGGAAGCGAAGAGACTACTGCTGCTGAGACGCCTGGCTTGAATGACGGGCAGGTGGGGCCTGAGGAAGCAAGGGCAACCACTGAGACCCCCCAGGACGGTGCGACCAAAGGTAAAGGTGGCGGAAGAGGCGGAGCTGGGGGCGGAGCGGGGGGAAGGGGGAAGACCGGGAAGCAGCAGGGCAAGGAGGTGCGATCGGCGCGGGTTAAAGCGGAGGTGGTGGAGGAAGGGGGGGAGGGGCAGCTGGGGCCTGTGGGGAAGGAAGGGGAGGTGGCAGGTACTGCCAGAGGCAGCAAGAGTAGGAGCCGCAAGGGAAAGGCGAGTGCAGGGAATGCGCGCAGTGTTGCTGGCGCTGGTGCTGCTGCTGCTGGCGGTGGTGGCGGTGCTGCTGCTAATGCTGACGCTGCTGATGCAGCAATAGAGCATCAGCCACAGCAGCAGGGGGAGGCAGCAGCAGGGGGGAGTGGCGGCGGGAGAGGCGGTAGGGTGGGCATCAATGTGGGGATACGCCGGCGATCCGCCAAGAGCAAGAATGCAGGGGGAAGGGGAGGTGCTGGTGCTGCTGACGGTGGTGCTGATGGTGATGAGAGTTGTTTGGGAGCGAAAGAAGGAGGAGGTGCGAGGCAGGGGCAGCGAGCGAAAGGCAGGAAGGGAAAGGCGGAGGCTGCTGCGGACGGGCAGCAGCTTGTGCAAGGCAAAGAAAGGAAAGAAGGAACAGAAGGGAACGACTCAAAGGTGCGAGCAGAGGAGGCGGGGGAGGGAGCAGGCAAACGCTTGGCGGCAGGAAAAGCGGGGCGGAAAGGAGGCTCAGCTGCTGACGCTCGCAGCAGGGACGCTCGTGCTGCCGCTGCCGCTGCTGCCATTGCTGCTGTTGCTGCTGCTAAGAATAATAGAAGTAAGAATAAGAATGGTGGCGGTGGTAGTGCTACCACGAGCGGGGACCATGATTACCACTGCGACGACGACGACGACGACGACGGAGAGGGGAACGGCGAGGAGGAGAACGATGGAAAGGAAGACAACGAGGAGGAGGACGAAGACGCATTGGGGCGCATGACTCAGGAGCAGATCGAGGCTCTAGAGGTGCGCTTTGAACAGAACCGGCGCCTGGATACGGCAAGGAAGCTGGTGCTGGCGAGGGAGATCGGCGTGCGGCCGCGGCAGGTGTCTGTGTGGTTCCAGAACCGGCGGGCGCGGTGGCGGCAGAAGAAGAAGGAGAGTGATCTGAGTGCGATGCAGAGGGAGTATGCGCGGTTGAAGGTGGCGAGGGAGCAGCTGGGGGAGGACTATGAGCTGCTGAAGAAGGACTATGAGGACCTGCTGCTGCATAATGCTGCGCTGCATGATAAGGTGAGGGGTGGGGTGCGGTGGGGTGGTGTGGGATAGGGTATGGTGGGGTGGGGCGCTTTGGTGTGGTGTTGGGTGGGGTGGTGTGCGGTGGAGTGGGGTAGTGGTTGAAGGTGGCGCGGGAGCAGCTGGGGGAGGACTATGAGCTGCTGAAGGACTATGAGGACCTGCTGCTGCACAACGCCGCGCTGCATGATAAGGTGCGGGGTGGGGTGCGGTGGGGTGTTGTGCGGTGGGGTGGTGTGGAGTGGTGTGGCGTGGTGTAGTGTGGGATGGGGTCGGGTGGGGTGGACTGGTGCAGGGTGGGGGTGGGGTGGTTTCGACCCTTCTAAGCTGATCATACGGTCAATTCTTTCTCTTCTCGCCTTCTTTTCCTGTACCAGAGCTGAGCTGAGCTTACCCATCGCATCCCTCCCCTCCTTCCCATCTCTCCCCCCTCCTCCTCTCAGGTGGACGATCTGATGGCGCATCTGGTGCAGCACGGCATGCTATCCGCCTCCACCTCCTCCTGCCTGCGAGATGCGCTCCTCACAGCCGGCCCTCTCTCCCCCGCCAACACCACCAGCAGCCCCATGCCTCTGCCCAGCGACGCCGCCACCACCCTGCCTGCCGCCGAGCCTGGCGCCCAGGCCTGGGCGGCCGCCGCAGCTGCTGGCTCGGCAGCCGCCTTGGGGGTGGGTGGTAGGGGCGCCCCCTCCCCCTCTGCTGCTGCTTCTGCTGTGGCGAATGGTGCAGGTGGGGGCATGTGGGGAGTGGGAGGGGTGGGAGGAGGAGCAGACGGAGAAGAAAGAGGAGGGATAGGAGGAGGAGTAGGAGGAGAGGAGTGGGTAAGCTCTGGAGGTATTTCCGGCATGATAGCAGCAGCAAGCACAGGCACGGGTGCAGCGAGCGCCGCCACAGCCGCCGCATCAGCAGCAGCATCAGCAGCAGCCTCCGCTGCCGCATCAGCAACAGCCTCCGCTGCCGCATCAGCAGCAGCATCAGCAGGAGGATGCAGCTTCTCGGAGCAACCAGCAAGTGCCTTCTTTCCACAGCCACCAGACATGCTCTTCGACTCCTGCCTACCGCTGCCTCTCCCTCCAGAACTCGACCCGGACCTTTTCAACCCCTGCCCGCCCACCAGCCCCGGCAGCAGCAACCACCACCTGGCCTACCCATGCAGGTGTAGTCCTACGAGTGGCGCTGCTGGTGGGTCAGCTGCTGCTGGTGGTGGTGGTGGGTATGGGTCTGCTCTGGGTGGGTCAGCACTGGGTGGGTACCCTACAGCAACGTCTCTCTCGTCGTCTCCTGCGTTCAGTGTTGCTGCTGCTGCTGGGTGGTGTAGCGAGTCGTATGGGGATCGCAGCAGGGAGCGTGGCGATCGAGTGAACCTGCTTCAGGCCTCTGCTGCTGCTGCTTCTGGTGCTGCTTCTGCTGCTGCTTCTGTTGCAGCCTCTGCTGCTACGTCTGGTGCTGCCTCGTGTGCGATTCGGGCTGGCGAGGAGGATGGGAAGGGATGGGAATGGGGAGGAGGGGGAGGAGAGGGAGGAGGGGGAGGAGTGGGGGGAGGGAGAACATTGCGGAGGGAGGGAGGAGCAAGTTTTCATGCCCAGTCTCCTCATTCTGCTGACGCCGCCGCCGCTGCTGCTGCTGCTGCAGCCGCTGCCGCTTCTCCTGAAGCACCTGCTGCAGCTCCAGTTGCAGCTTCAAATGCCGCAGGACCCTCTGTTGCTGGAGAGGCTGTTTCTGACACCCTGCCCCTCCCTCGTGCGACTTCCCGAACCCAGCCTCTCCCTCTTGATCCCCCACACATGCTCCATCTGCCTGGCGCTCTTCCCCCCACTGCCCACCCCTCTGTGCCTGTGGCTGTGGCTCCCTCTCTTGCTCCGTTTTCCAACCCGAATGTGAATGCACACGTGCTCGCCCGAGGCACTCCACGTGCTCGCTTCCGAGGGAATCCCGCGAGCCAGTTTCAGGAAAGAGGAAGCGGAGGAGGAGGAGGAGAGGGAGGAGACGAAGGAGGAGGAGGAGCGGAAGCTATTCCCGTTCCCAGCTATTTCTTCCCTTCAGCAGCAAACTTGGTGGCCGTGACAGATTCGATGCAGGAGCAACTGGAGGGAATCCATGATGGTATTGAGACAAGGCCTCTTGCTGTTGCTGCTGCTGCTGGTGCTGGTGCTGGATTGGGCGGTGCATGTGAGCCGTACACGATGCAAGAAGGAGAGGAAGAGATGATTCCAGCACAGCGCATGCACCACTCATACCGGCGCCACCAGCAGCAGCAGCAGCAGCAGCAGCACATCGTGCACTGTAATGAGCAGCAGGCGTACCAGCAGCAGCAACAGCAGCAACAGCAGCAGGAGCTGGTGAATCTCTTCGAGCAGAAGCACGAGGAGGGAGGGGAGCAGCAGCTAGTGCATGGGGGGCAAGGCGCTGAGCGGGCGCATCAGGAGCAGGAGGAGCGGGGCCAAGAGGAGCAGGAGAAGGAGGAGCGGCAGCTGATGCAGGAATGGACGCAGTGGCAGGAGAGGCAAGGGGCGGAGGAGGAGGAGACGCAGTACTGGGATGGGTTACATGCTCGTGACCTTCATGCACACACTGGCAACATCGATGGTACAGCGGCTGCTGGAAGGATGAGCAATTATCATGTGCCGCTTCGGCAGCAGCAGCAGGCACAAGAGGTGCATGAGCAGCAGCACGAGCAGCGGCAGCAGCAGCTGTTTGCACCTCTGGTGCAGCGCTCTAGCTCCGCGCCTTCTCCGCCCACACCTTCCCCCCACTTCCTATCCTCCAGTGCCAGCCGCACCAGTGCCACCGGCATATACAGCAGCATGACTGCTGCTGCTGCTGCTAATAATAATAATAGTTCTGGGCTTTGCAGCAGGGAGCAAGAAGGCAGTGGTGGGTCTGAGGGAAGCATGGAGGGCTCGCGGGGGAAGGAGAGCCTGGGAGGGAGCAGGGAGGGTAGCAACAGCGGCGGTTGTCCTGCAGATCTTGCGCCACAGCAAGGAAGCCCCCCCCCTGTCAGCCGTGATCTGCATCTTACTGAAACTGCTTCCTTCAGGCCCGTGCCGCTGTGTGGCGGGGAGAACGGTCCCCACGCAGGGGTAGGGGATTCCTTTGTTAAACATGGTGGGGATGCTAGGAGCTCTGTGCGTGATGTGCTCGTGCCCCTTCCACCCCAGGATGCAGGTTGCCAGGTTGGACATGGGGGACATCTGGACTTGAACTTGCTGGGTTTTCCTACTCCTCCTGCCTCTCCAGGCTTTGATGGGGCAACCAGGGCTGAGATTGAGAATTTGGGTCCATCGCAGGAAGCCGAAGGGATGTCGATGATGCACTGGGCTGACGAGCCTGTTGTCTTTTGAGAGGGTACATATATTGCTTGTGCTTGGGTATGCGTTTTTGCGTTGGAACAATTGTGCTTGCTTGACTCGTGTGTGTGTTTTTGCTTTACGCTGTGTCATGGTTATCCATGTTTTTCTATCTCATGTGAACCCCTTTATATCTATTGTATCTTTAGTTTTGTTTCGACATCTCCTCTCTTTTATGGCTGAAAGTGTTACAAGCTCCACCCAATGTTTTTGGAAAGCGAAGGTTTCCGTTGGCTCCCGCGACTTCTGCGGGTTTGGTTGGTACGCCTTGCGGTACGACGGCTTGCAATCGTTAGTGGCGGGAAGGAATATTTTAGTTTGCGTTCCATGATCCCATTGGCCAAGCCTTGTCCAGCAGGATCGCCTGCACCAGTCGTACAGCGATTGCTTGAAAGCGAAACAAACCGCGGGCAGAAAACCAAGCAAAACCCCGGTCGCACGGTCGCATGTCCCACGTAAGCACGGGAGGAAGGGAGGCGACGGAGGAAAATTGCAAATTTCGCAAATGGTGCGACTCGGCTTGTAATTTGGCGGAGATGAGGGCCGCGTCCAGCGCAGCCCCCAGTGGCGCCCCTCAAATGCGTCATGGCTCATGGATTGAGGGCTCTTGGTTTGGTTGGGTTAGTTTGAGCTGGGTTGAGCTGGGTTGGGTGCATCGGAGAGCTGGCTTCGCTCGCAACGCGGCGTGCAAATGCAACAAAAATGAGATGGCTGCGATGGCGGTCGCCATTCATTCCTAACCGTGGCGGCACAGAACCGACCAAATCTCTCACCCAAGCTCACGAAGGAGGAGGAGACGGCCAGCAAGCAACTGAACGCATAGCGAAGGGATACTTCGCTGTTTGAGAGGCCTCAGCGTCGCTGCGTCCAATTCTCCATGTGATGGTGCATCGGCATAGGCGCCATCTCATACCTTTCAAAGCCAGATTATCACCAGCGAGAGCAATTTTACAGTGGTGCTACCTCAGGTCCAATCAGGGCCAAGTCACTTCTGATGGAACGTCATATTCGTATCCCTTGTATTCGGTTTCTTTAGCTTAGCGACTTTACCTCCCTGGGCCGTGAATCTTCGAGTGTTTGCCACACATTCTCGTCAACCCCCTTTGCGACAGAAATCAAGCATATCCCAGGATTCTCGTACAAACTTGTACGACCCGGATAACCTAGAACTTTGTTTTGTTTTTTCAAACGTGCAGCGCGAGCTGCCCCTTTGTCCGGTATTCAACTCGACCAGCGGCACCTACGTCCGTCAGTCCCGTTCCTTACAGAACCATAGCGAACCACAACAGCGTGTAGCCCTTTGGTCACGTGATTTGGCCATGGCGTCTTCCAGAACATTCTCCCTCTACTCCTCCATACCCTCAGCCGACGCCGCCCCTTCATGTAGAGTTCACCCGATCTCGGACGATCCGCCGTCTGCGAGCAAGCAGAAACGTCTCGACTCGTGTTGCGGGTCGTCGCAAACTCTCCCAGACGATCCTCCTTCCGCCAGCAAGCAGAAGCACCCGCCGCGCCGCAGGAGCATCTTGCGCCGGCTAGGCGCCGCCGTGGATTACGGGATTAACTACGTCTTTAGCGGGCTCGCGCGGGTGGTGGCTTCGCATCCGATAGCCGTGCTGGCGTTGACGATTGGCTTGGGCGTGCTGATGGCGTGCGGCGTGTTCAAGATGACCGTTGAGACCAACCTGGAAGAGCTCTACACGCCGCAGGGGAACATCGCGTTCCAGAACCGGGTGAGTTTTGAGACGTTTCAAAAGTCCGATAGCAGTGCTGGCGCTGACGATCGGCTTGGGCGTGCTGATGGCGTGCGGCGTGTTCAAGATGACCGTTGAGACCAACCTGGAAGAGCTCTACACGCCGCAGGGGAACATCGCCTTCCAGAACCGGGTGAGTTTTGAGACGTCTCAAAAGTCCGATAGCAGTGCTGGCGCTGACGATCGGCTTGGGCGTGCTGATGGCGTGCGGCGTGTTTAAAATGACCGTTGAGACCAACTTGGAAGAGCTCTACACGCCGCAGGGCAACATCGCGTTCCAGAACCGGGTGAGGCTCGGTAACGGTGGGTGTAAATGGGTAGGGGCTGGTAAGGTTGAGTCGCGTACTAGGATGGTGGTGCTGTGCATGGTTGGAACACATGGCGCGTTTTACATGAGAACACGTGAATCAGTGGGTAATCCATGTACACTCTACCTGACTAAAGTGTGGTTTTGAGTCGAGAATCAGCATGCCTTCAGCATGCGTGACTGTCAGCAGAGGAAGTGTGTGTTATCTCTTCCGCGCGAGTATCTGCTTGTTTGCCTGATTGTACGTACTCGTTTTTTTGTACCTTTCTGTTTTTCAACCCCGTGTGCGGGCGGGCTCGCAGGACTACGTGGATTCGCTGTACGGCTACGAGGCGCTGGACGTGAAGGTATTCGTGGTGTCCAAGGGCAACTCCAACCGCACCCTGCTTACCAAACCCGCGCTGCTCGCCCTGCTCGACGTTTACGAGCTTATAACGAGGTAATCCAGCGATTCCGTGAGAGAGAGTTTACATAGAGAGAGTTTACATACCGGCTTGTTGTGAGTCCGTGCTTGTGTAGAGTCGTCTTGGCAGATGATTCCCGAAGTTTAGATACTTGAGGTCTCTTACTTGTCAGCACTGCTGGTCTGGTTCGACTGGCTCACAAATGTAGTCTTACGTCGCTCATCTGCACGCACACCCTCACGTCCCCGTCCCTTCCCCGCTTCCCCTTTCCCTCGACCCCGCCTCTCCGCGCGATAATTTACCCTGCAACCCCATTCCCGCTGTGTTCTCTGCCTACTCCTTATCTACATCCTGTTTCCGCTCTCCCCCCCTCCCTCCCCCTCCCCCTTCCTGCTGGCTGGCTCGCAGCGTGAACGCGACGTACAACGGGTCGACGTTTAACTACGCGGATCCGCGCATCTGCTACCGGCCCGGGGGGCAGAACACGCCGTGCCAGGTGGTGAGCGTGCTGGACTACTGGGGCTACTCGCGCACGGCCATTCAGCGCGATAAGGACATTATGAAGACCATCAACAACCCCTTCGTGCTCGTACGTCGCTGCTGCACTCTATTGAAATCATCCCAAATTCACTCAAACGAACGCCGCCTTTGTCCTTTAATGCATCGCTCGGCAAACCCAACCCTTCCCATTTCTCCCTTCCCCCTTCCCCCTTCCCACTTCCCCCTTCCCCCACCCCCCTTCCCCCCTCCCCCATTGCGCCAGACGCGGTACGGGCAGCCGGTGCCGCAAGACTGGGTGGTGGGCGTGCAGACGAAGAGCGCGGAGTCGGGCGAGATCGCGGAGGCCAAGGCGTTTCTGCTGACGCTATTCGTGCAGAACAACAAGGGGTGCTCCGGCAGCAGCTGCAAGGACTACTTGGTCGAGGAGTGGCAGAAGGCCATCGACGCGCCCGTTCGCGCGGTGAGCTGAGAAGGAGGGGTGGTGGGGTGAGGGAGGGTCTCATGTACGGGTTGGCCGTGCAAATGCACAACACTTGGGTGAAAAGTGGGTTCTTTGGCGAGTCTCGATTTGACAAAATTTTGGCCCCAGATTTGTAAACCAATCAGACAGGCCCTTTTTCCATGGACTGCAAAACACTTGGTCTACTTGAGACCCGGAGCGTGGTGTGTGTGGGTGTGGCGTGTTAGGTCGCCCTCGCCCCTCTTCCTTGGCAGCAGCTGCAACGACTACCTGATCGAGGAGTGGCAGAAGGCCATTGACGCGCCGGTTCGCGCGGTGAGCTGGGGGGGAAGAGAAGAGGAGGAGAGGGAAGGAGGATGAGGATGAGGGAGGGGAGGAGGAGGAGGGCAGGGAAGGGGAGGGTGGTGTGTGTGGTGCGCGTGACGTATGTGGTCACCCCCGTCCCTCCCCTTTGCTCACCCTCCCGCCTCTTCTTCCCCCCCCTTCCTCCCCGCCCCGGTTCCCCTTTCCCCCCCATTGCTCCCCCCTCCCCCGGCAGTATTCGAGCGACGAGATCGACGTGTACCTGCTCTCCTACTGGGGGCAGCAGGCGGCGAGCGACAGCGCGCTAACCGCGGACGTGAACCTCTACTTCGTCAGCGCGTTCCTGCTCCTCGCGTACAGCGTGCTCATCCTCTTCCGCCGCCACCCCGTGCACTCGCACTGCTACCTCGCACTCGTTAACATCGCGTCCGTGACGCTCGCGGTCATGGGGTCGTACGGGCTCTGCAGCCTGTTTGGGCTCAAGTTTAGCCTCGTCACGCAATCGCTCGCGCTGCTGCTGCTGGGGCTGGGTACGGATGATATGCTTGTGACTATGGCGGCGCACGACGAGGTGAGCTGCGGTGGGAAGAGGCGGGGAGAGGCGAGGGGAAGCCGAGCGAGGGTGAGAGAGAGGAGGCGGGGGGGAGTCAGTGGTTGCTTTCGTTTTCGTTCCACCTGTCTGAGTCCAGCCAAACAGGTCATCCCAGCCCTTGGGTCTCGAAAACTCCATGATATCAATGTGATTCTTGGTTTACATGTCATTACCAGTCCGTTTCTCTCCCTGTTTTCCCGCCTTAACCTCCGCTACTTGCACTGACTGTTCACTCTCTCTGCGCCTTCCTCCTCCGCCCTCTTCTCTTCCCATTTGCTCCCTTTCCCACTTTTCCCCCTCCCCCTCATGCCCCCATTCCCCCGTTCTCCCGACCCCCCCGTTCCCCCCGTCTGTGCCCCCAGACGGCGCGCGACTTCCCGAACGCGTCCGTGGTGGACCGGATCGTCGCGACGGTGTCGCGCGCGCGGCGCGGCGTGATCGTCGCGGCGCTCACCAACTTCGTCGCGTTCTGCACGGGCATCATCTCCGAGCTGCCCGCGCTGCGCGATTTCATGATCTACGCCGCCGTCGGCGTCGTCCTCGTCTTCGTCTTCCAATCCACGCTCTACGTCGCGGCGCTCACGCTCGACCTGCGCCGGCAGCGCGCGAACCGCATCGACACGCTCTGCTGCCTCGTCAGCTCCGCCGGCCCCACCGACGGCTGCTGCGGCCGGCCGTACGATCGAACCAAGCCAGGACTCGATCAGACGGTCATAGGCCACTGGCTTCCCGCGCTGATCCTCCATCCGATCGGGAAGATCTTCGTGGTTTTAGCGACGCTAGGGTTACTCGCGACCGGGATCTACGGCGCGTGGAACGTGACGCAGAATTTTAATATCGACTGGATGGTCCCGGAAGGGACGTACGTGCGTGACGTGTACCGAATCCGATCTCAGACGTTCCCCCTCGCGTCGGGCCAAGGCGCTCTTCCCGTGTACGTTTACACGACGAACCCGACGGCGACGTTCACGACGGTTACCAACACTTCGTCGGGGTCGTCGCGACCCCAGGCGTGGGTCGCGCCGTCGTCCGCGGCGCCGATGGACTATTTTAAGATGCAGGACGAGTTAGCGGCGCTGGGCGTGCGGTTACAGGCGGACCCGTACATGTCGTTCTCGCCGCCCGTGCAGTCGTGGTTCGCCAACTACCTCATCTGGCTCTCCGCGTCGCCGCACGCGCCGCTGCTCGACGCCAACGGACGGTAATTGATTGATTGATGCCTGTACGCCTGCGTGCCCGCATTCCCCGCATTCCCCGCATTCCCCGCATGCCTGCATGCCCAGCAAGCCCCTGGATGTCCCCGTCTCCCTCCTCTCCTCACCTCCCCGTCCAGACCTCCCCCTTCTCAACCTCCCTCCCCCTCTCCCTCCCCCCCTCTCCCACCTCGTGCGCTCCTCCTTAGCAATAGTACCCATTGCCCTGTGCCGCGCCATCCCTGTGTCCTCAAAAGCGTCGCTGTTGAGATCCACAGCGCCACGCTCGTCCCACGCCCTCCCTCCCACCCCTCACTCACCATTCCCCTCCAATCCCCTCGCCCACTCTCCCCTCCTCCAGTCCCCCCACGCCCGAGCTCGTCTACTCATGGCTGCACGAGTTCTCCCTCTTCTCCTCAATCCCTCTCGATCCTGACCTCCCTCCCCAACCTCCCCGTCCCCCTACCCCCTCCGCCTTCCCTCTCCCTTCCCTCCAGTCCCCCCACGCCCGAGCTCGTCTACGAGTGGCTGCACGAGTTCTCCCTCTTCTCAAATCCCCCTCCCTCCATCCTCTCTCCCCTTGTTCCCCCCACGACTTCACCTCCCTCAGTCCCCCCACGCCCGAGCTTTTCTACGAGTGGCTGCACGAGTTTCTGGGCTCCGTGGGCCGGCGCTTCCGTCTGGACCTAGTCTTCGACTCCTCCAACAGCTCCGTGATCCTCTCGTCGCGCTTCTTTGCCATGACGCGCGGGCTCAACAGCAGCGCGCAGCAGGTGGACGCCATGAACTCGGTCCGCGCCACCGCGTCCTCCGCCGCGCCCACGCTCTCCGCCTTCGCGTACACCTTCCCGTTCATCTTCGTCGAAGGCTACGCAGTCATTCAGCCCGACACAGTCCTAGCCATCGCGATCGCCGGCGCGGTGGTGTTCGGAATCATGCTGTTATTGCTCGCGGATCTGACGTGCAGCGTGCTGGTGGCGGTGATGGTGGCGGCGATAGGGGTGGAGCTGGTGGGGTGCTTGTACTGGTTCGGGCTGGCGTTTAACTCGGTGACGTCCATCACGCTGCTGCTCGCCATTGGGATTGCCGTGGATTACTCGGCCTTCACTGCCTTCTCGTTCCTCTCCCAGGTGGGTTGCTGTGTGTGGATGGGGTGGTGGAGGGTGTGTGTGTGTGTGTGTGTGTGTGTGTGTGTGTGTGTGTGTGTGTGTGTGCCTTCACTCTCTCTCATTTCCCTGGCTACTCACAGCTGCCAGACTCACGCGTACGAATCTCCCACCATAGCCTCACCAGCCCCTCCTTTGTTGTCATCGTCCACCCCGCATTCGATCATCCCCCCCCCATTCACTCCCTTGGTTCCCCTTGTGTCCTCGCAAGCAGGTGGGCACGCGGCAGGAGAGGGCGAGGAGGGCGTTGAACCACCTGGGAGTGGCGGTGTTCAACGGGGGCTTCTTCATGTTCCTCTCCATCCTCCCGCTCGCCCTCGCCAAGTCCTTCGTCTTCCAAACTTTCTTCAAGGTACATACCTCTCTCTCTCTCTCTCTCTCTCTCTCTCTCTCTCTCTCTCTCTCTCTCTCTCTCTCTCTCTCTCTCTCTCTCTCTCTCTCTCTCTCTCTCTCTCTCTGCCTGTGACCCGCTTCTTCATTTGACAAGTCCCACTTGCGCCTCATCCCGTACCCACTTATGGTCTTCTTCCCCTTCATGGCATCCTTGTCCTCCTCCTGGGTCCCTCCCACTGTGTGTTTTCCTGTGTTCATCTCTCTACATCAGTCCATGGTGGCACTCGCACTCCATGGGTCAACCCATCAGCAGCACACCTTGCCTTGCCACTCTCATCGCTTTCTTGCTTCCCTCCCGCTCCCACTGGCCCATCACCCACTGCCCATCCTCCCCCTTCCTCTCACCCCACCCTTCTTCTCTGCAGATGTTTTCGATGATTGTGGTGCTTGGTCTATGGCACCGGGGCCTCTGCACGCTACCAGTGCTACTCTCCCTCTTGAGGCACCTCAAAACCAATCATCTCTTCCTCTCACCCCACCCTTCTTCTCTGCAGATGTTTTCTATGATTGTGGTGCTTGGTCTATGGCACGGCCTGTGCACGCTACCAGTGCTGCTCTCGCTCTTCGGCCCACCACCATTCGAAACATCCGTAGAGGCGCACCTATTGCAGCTATCCGCAGCAACGTCTTCGGCCCGAGTGGCTGATGCTGTCATGCCAGATGAACTGCCAGGTGTTTCTTCAGGTGGGTCTGTTTGCAGCGGCGCCATAATGGTGACTCCAGAGAAGCAGGTTATAGGTGCCAACATGCCCTCAGCAGCACCTGCAGTTGTGATGATGACTTCTCTGTAACGAGGATGCAGCTGAGTGCTGCTCGTGGCCGCATAATCGACAGGCGGGGTGAAGGAGGATTTATACTGCCGAAAGGCCGCATCGTTGTCAAAGAATAAAATAGTCTCAGCGAATCTGTAGATCATGGGTGCATGGTTGCACCCTGGAAGGACTTGGCTTGTGAGCCACTCACTGACTTCTGACATGCCATGGAGGGAGACCCGTTAGTTAGGACTCAGAGCTCCAAGATATACTCCCTTGGGCATGTGCTACTAGTTAGAAAATGCTTGCTATGCTCCCTCCACTTGTAATTTCAACATATATGCCGAATTAAAGTGAATGGTGTATCTAACATATCACCATGTGCGGTGTAAAACAAAGCGTATCAAACGTGTTACCTAAACATCTGTACACTAAGAACGGAACGGAACCGAACGGAACCAGTACGTACCGACTGTCGACGACTGCTAGCCGCCGCCAAAGGAAATCTGCTGCTCCGTCGGGACTCGAGACAACCCGTTTCACTGGGGCGGAACGGTATTCCCAAGAGAGCACAGCACCATATGATCATACAGCTGATGCCCACCCCATGCACGCGAATTTTCTCTGTACTGGATGGAAACGCTGCACCCGAGGTTTTTTCCTCAGCCAGTTGCACCCACGTTACAAGCACGTCGCGCACGGTGCAGTGGTTATGAACCACAAGTAACGAACAGACCGAAGTCATACTGAAGAGACTGAAGTCAAAATGTCAACGGATAAGGTTACAGATCCTTTATATAAGCACCTGCGAATCCTTTTTAGCTAGCTGCGAATTGACGAAACTTTTGCGTTACAGATTATAAGCCCCCTTCACAAGGCAACCGGGAGTGGCTCAAACAGGCATCATGTGTACATGCAACAGATAAAGTTTGACTTCACTCCCACGCCATTTATCTCCATACACTTTCTAAATCCCAGGAGGGAGGCAGCGCCAGTCGTTTTCTTCGCTCGCTTTGTCAACGCCAGTATCGCTCTCCCTTCGCCGTCGCAACGATTCGTCGTCACCTCGGCCGCGGATCGTAGATGCTGCTGTTGCACGAGCCATGCGTTTCGCCATGATTACGATAGAGCTATTCTGTCTTGATCCGCATGGCGAGGCCATGGAGGATGGCGAAAGTTGGGAGTGTCGTTGTGATCACTACCTGCTGTCTGCCGCGCTTTTGTTGCTCCGTCCCGTCGCGCGGCAATAGCTGATACTCGAAGAAAGAAAGTGTTTCTTGGCCTCGATTGGCCTTTCGTGGCCATTCATCTCTCCCTTTCTGGCGCGTCCGATCCGATGGATCCGACGGCTTCCATCGCCTCCTGCGAAGCTTCAGCCCACGCCGTCGATTCTCCTTCCGAGCCTTGCGCAGCGGAACCCCCAAAACCTGCAAGAATTAGCCTCCCTGATCAGCCGTCTGCTGCTGTCTCACCTACGGAGACCCCTACAGAGACCGCTGCAGAGACCGCCACAGGGACCACTGCAGAGACCGATGCAGAAACCCCTACCGGGAACCTTACAGAGACCCCTACAGAGTCAGAGGCACTTGCAAGGATCCCTGGAGAGTCAGCAGCAGTGATCACGGACCGACCCCCGCGTTCATCCAGTTCATGCACACCGTTTCCTGCTCCCGCTTCGGCCACCGCATCCTCGTTACACGCCTCCTAGATTCTGGTCGCCTCTCCTCCCGCCGCGTCTCTCGCCGCGTCGTCCGTGCCCGCCTCGTCCGCTTTCTCGTCCAATCCCCAGTCAGCGCCATCCCCCTCTTCGAACTCGCTTTCCGCATGGTCGCCATGGCGCCTCGTAACCTTCTTTACCTCCCCGCGCTCTCCGTCTCTTCCGTACGACGTCCGTACCTCCGATCGCCTGCTCGCGCCGCTTCTACTCCCGCCCGAAACGAAGCAAAACATATTCGCGCTGCGGCACCCCGTCAGCGGCGCGATCGTCTACGTCGTCCCCACGACCTTCCTCTCGCGCCAGTCCGAGCAGGACACGTGGCAGGTGATCTCTGCGGTGCGGCCTGACGTGGTGGTGGCACAGGTGTCGCTATATGACCGGCTGCTGCTGATGGAAGGGGAGTTGGGGTGATTGCCGGACAGAGACGAGCGGAGGGGAGGGGGAGAAAGGGGAGAAATACTGCGCATATGCGACAAAGAAGGAGCGGGGGAGGGAGACGGCCGGGGAGAAGGGGGAGCAGACGGGGAAGGGGAAGAGGGAGCAAGGGTTAGAGGCGAAGGAGGTGAGGAAGGAAGGAGTGAAACGAGCCGAGACGAAGGGGGACGGACAGGCAGAAAGAGAATCAGACAAGCAGCAGCAGGAGAGACAGTAAGATCATCAGCAGAAGCAGGAGCTACAACAGCAGCGCCAGCAGGGCCAGAGCAGCAGCAGCAGCAGCAGCAGCATCAACAGCAAGTGCAGCAGCAGGTGCAGCAGGCGGGAAAAGGCCAGGTACCAGAGACACCTGCAGGCGTGGTGGCGTGTGCGGCACTCCAACACGTGGACAGCGCGAGCATGCGGCGGTGGGGAGTGCAACACGTGATAGAAACCATCTTTGGCGCGCATGTGGCGGGCCCCCTTGCTGCTGCGCGCTCCCTCTCCGCCGCCCATGGGTCTAAACTGCTTTACCTTGTGGATCCAGGGCTGGGGGGAGGGGGAGGGGGAGAAAGCGCGGGCGGAGTAGCAGCAGGGGGAGGGGGAAGGGGAGGGGGAGGGGATGGGAGTGAGGGCGGCGCATGGGAGGGAGTGGGGAGGAAGGGGTCAGGGAAGCGGGTTGGGGTGGGGTGGGGGGGAGGCGGAGGCGGGAGGGTGGGAGTGCAGGCGCAGCTATTGCCAGGTGGGGGAGCTGCGGTAGGTACCGAAGGGGAGGATGAAGGGCAAAATGAGAGGGGTACACATGCAGGAGAGTGTGACACTCAGGATTGCGCATTTCTAGGGAGTGAAGGAGAGAGGAAGGGGTTGAGTGACCAGGGAAGGAGAAGTGTGCAGGTTGTGGCTGTGGATGGTATAGCTGTTGGCAGTGTCTCCCCTAGAAAGATGGCCATTAGTGATGGTTCCCGGGCAAGGGGAAGTAGTAAGAAGGAGCGTGCACGTGCACGTGCGTTTGACCTCTGCCTTTCCAGCTCCAGGCCTGCTGTGCCTTCGGAATTGACTCAAAAAGCAGCAAGAGGGAATAGTAGCAAGGAGCGTGTGAGTGCGAGTGCGATTGCGATTGCGAGTGCACGTGCACGTGCGTTTGATCTCTGCCTTTCCAGTTCCCGGGCGGCTGTGGCTCCGAAGCCTGAGTCAACTCAAAAGGCAGCAAGAGGGAGCAGCAGGCAACATGCACGAGAGCGAGCGCTTGCTCTGTGCCTCTCTAGATCCTTGCCTTCTCCTCCTCCTCCCTCTCCGCCTCTGACTCTCCTCCCTCCTCTGCCCGATATCGCGCATCACTTTGCCCTAGCACAATTCGGCCCAAAGGCTCTAGCTCTTCTCCCCCACCCCACATTGAGTAGCTCTTTAACCACCAGGGATGCCGTGCCAGGCGCTGCTGCTACAGCCACTGCTACAGCTGCTGCTACATCCGAGGCCAGCGTTTCTGGTTCGCCTGAGCGTGGGCCTTCAGAAGCAGAGCAGGGCAGGGAGGTTGGGAAGGAAAGGCAGGGAGAGGAGGGAGAAGGGGAAGAGGTTGCGTGGGGGGATAGGGAGGTGGCGAATGGGGTGCTGGCAGTGCTGTCAACCTACGAACGCGCGTTTGAGGAGATGAAGGGGATGAGGGAGGCTGCTGCTGCGGCCAGGCTGCTGCTGGCTGCTGCTGTGGCGGACGGGAGTGGGGTAGGGGAGAGGCTAGCGCAGGAGGGAGAGGGAAAGAGTGGGAGGGAGGGAGAGGAGACGGGAGAGGGAAGGGTGCGAGAGGAGAGTAGCGGAGGCAGGCATAATGCGGCTGGTGGTGGCGCTGCTGCTGGCGCTGCTGCTGATGCTGCTTCTGCTGCTGATACCCGTGCTCTTGTTCCCATGGGCAGGGAAGGTGCAGGTGCAGCAACATCCTCGTCACAAGCAGACCCGTTATTGTCAGACGCGGTGCGGCACGTGCGGCTGTACGGGCGCCTGGCAGACGTGATTCGCGAGGTGCAGATAGAGGAGGCACGATCAACCCCTGTGGATCCATCAGAATCTGTGTTCACACGGCTGCGGCAGATGGATGGGACGATGGGTGGCGGGGGAGGAGGTGACGGAGGAGGGAGAGGCGCGGGGGGAGGAAGAGGAGGAGGGGAAGGAGGTAAGGGGAGAAACGGGGGAGGGGGTTTGCTGGAGAGAAGAATCGAAGAGGTCGAGGAGCAAGGGGAGGGGCATGCATTGAAAAGAGAAGGAGAAGGAGAAGAGCGAGGCAGGGCAGAGGTAACCTATGATGCTGCTGCAGGTAGTGGTGGCAGCAGTGGTACGGCTCACAGTCACACTCGTGCTTCTAATGCGGGTGCTAGAACTGAGAGTGATAGTACCGAGGGCAGCAGCGGTGAGATGGTTATTGCGAGTGCAGCAGCAGCAGCAGCAGCAGCAGCAGCAGCAGGGGATGAAAGAGCCCTCCAGGGGAATGCGCATGAGGCCGAGGGGGGCAGGCTCAGGCGTTTCCTCAGGTGGTTTCGCGGAGAAGCTGTGCAGGAGAGAGCGTCAGGTGTCGCTTCGTCTGGAAAAGAGCAAGTAGTGGAAGGGGAGGAGAAGGAGCAGGAGCAGCAAGGGGCGATCAGAGGGAGGGACGGGAACCGTGTACCGGGCGATGGAAGACTGGTAGTGAAACGACAGGGAGAAGCAGCACAGGGAGTGGGAGCAACGGCTGATACTGAAGAAAAGGCTGCCGCTGCTACTGCTGCTGCATTGCCAGTGTCTGATTCACACTCGGCACTGGTGGGGCTGCAGCAGCTGCTAGAGCTGAGCAGGGAGGAGCAGCAGGAGGTGCTGCTGGTGCAGGCCATTGAAAACGAAGCAGCAGCGCTGCAGCCCGGGCAGGCCATGGTTGTCACTCTCTCCACGTCGCTGCTCCCTCTCCTGCGCCGCTCATGGCCTGCTGCTGCCGCCACTGCTGCTGCTGCTGGTCGTGTGAACCCTGCAGCACTAGCACCAGCAGCACTAGCACCAGCAGCACTAGCACCAGCAGCACTAGCACCAGCAGCACTAGCACCAGCAGCACTAGCACCAGCAGCACTAGCACCAGCAGCACTAGCACCAGCAGCACTAGCACCAGCAGCACTAGCACCAGCAGCACTAGCACCAGCAGCACTAGCACCAGCAGCACTAGCACCAGCAGCAGCAACAGCAGCAGCAGCAGCATCCCCGGGCCTGTCTTCGAGCCTGAGAGCATTGGCTAGAGAGTGTCTCATACCAGCGCATCTCTTTGAATCTCACGCTGCTTCCGCTGCAGGAAGAGGCGCTGACCACGCTTTCGCTGCGCTCTCTCCCGCAACAGCTAGTGGTGTCAGTGGCAGCGGCAGCGGCACTGGCGGTGCTGCAGGAGCGGCTCATAAGGCGTCTGCCTCCTCACTGGCAGCAGCAGGCGCAGGAGCAGGAGCAGCTCTAATCCTCATCACCTTCTCCTCTCTCTCCAAAACCCTCTCCCTCTCCGCCCTTCTCAAGCTGTTCACCTTAAAAGCCGCCTCGATAGCAGCAGGAGGAGCCAAGGGGAAGCTGTTTTCCTTCCTCATGCACCGTCTGGTGACAGCAGCAGGAATGAAAGCGTCTGCTGCTGCCGTCACAGGGCCGCTAGGAGCCAAGCTAGCGCTTCTGGCAGGTAAGGTGGGTCTGCAGGGGAAGATCGCAGCTGTGGGGATTGGAAAAGCTGGGGCTATGGCAGGCGGCTCTGCTGCTGCGAATGCTGCTGGTGCTGCAGGTGCTGGGAAGGCTGTGGCGGCTGCTGCTGCTACCGGGGCAGGGAAGCTGGCGGGTTCGGCTGGGCTTGTGGCTGGGACTGGGAAGGTGGCTGGAGGTTCAGCAGTGATGGCAGCAGGAGCTGGGAAAGCAGCAGCAGCTAGCGCTGGTGCTGTGGGGAAGGCAGCAGGTGCGGCGAAGGCAGTGGGTGTTTCAGCCGCCGGTGTGGGCAAAGCAGCGGTGGGTGTTGGAGGGAAGGTGGCAGGGGCAGGTGCAGGGAAGATAGCAGGTGCAGGTGCGGGGAAGATAGCAGCAGGTGGTGTGGCTGGTGGGAAGGCAGCCGGAGGGTCAGTGGCTTCGGTTGCGGGTGCTACCGGGTCTGGTAAGGCTACTGGCGCTGCTGTTGCCGCTCCTGCTGCTGCCGCTGCTGTTGCGTCTGCCTCTGCTTCTGCTGCTGGTACTGCTGCTGTTACTGCTGCAGCTACAAATGTAGGTGCAACCACAGTTGCCACAGTAACAACAGCAGCAACAGCCACAGCCACAGCCACAGCAACAGCGACAGCCACAGCAACTGCAACAGCAACAGCAACAGCGACAACGGCAGCAGCAGTGACATCAGTGACCAAATCGGGAGTGGCAGCGGCGGCGGCAGCAGCGGGGAAAGTGGGCGGGTGGGCGGGCACGACAGCGCAGGTAGCAATGGACTCAGTGCAGAGAGCAGCGTGGCAGCTGCTGCGAACGGTGCTGTACCAACAGATGCGGGAGAGGTCTCGCAACGGTAAGGGGCAGACGCAGCAGGTGCAGGTGCAGGGGCAGCAGGGAAGCGCAACGGGTGCTGCTGGCTCAGCTGTTGTCTTGACCACAGCAGAAGCAGCGGCTGGTCCTATTGCGGCTGGTGTGGGTTCTGTGAATGGGGCTGAGCCCACAGCAGCAGCAGGAGCAGCAGGAGCAGCAGGAGCAGTGGCAGCAATGGCAGCAGTGGGAGCAGGGCCCGAGCCGAGCACACACATCCTCACCAGCTCAGGTAGCAGCACCCATCTACTCACCTCAGCACCCACCGGAACCGCTCTAAACCCATCAATCAGCGGAGGAGACTCAGTCAGACCAGCAGGAGGGCGAGTGGCCCTCTGGCTGCAGCAGCAGGGGCGGAACGTAAGAGAAGGGCTAGCCTGTGCTGCGACAGAAGGGACCAACGACAGAGCGTGGCTGACACTCGGCGCGACAATCGGGACAGTGGCACTGGTGACAGCGTATCAGGAGGAGATTCTGTACGGGGTGGCGGTGCTGCCTGAAGGCCCAGGGGTTGGCGCGTGTGGGGAGGGGTGTGCGGCGCGTGAGGGAGGTGGTTGAGGCGGCACGGCCGCCAGGGTACAAGCTGGATGAGTTGGGACGGGTGGAGTCTTGAAAGACGTCTTGGAAGTCGTTTGTAGGGGCACACACACACGGTAGGCTTCACCAGTTTGGCCGTGTCGTATCAGGAGGAGATTCTGTACGGGGTGGCGGTGCTGCCTGAAGCCCAGGGGTTGGCGCATGTGGGGAGGGGTGTGCGGCGCGTGAGAGATGTGGTAGAGGCGGCACGACCGCCGAAGCATAGGCTGGAACAGTTGGGTCGGGTGGAGTTGTGAGAGTGCGAAGCTTGGATGCTGGAGCGTAGGGTAGACTTGGACGAGTTAGATGATTATATTGTGTAAGGGTGGGGGTGTCGGCGGGAGGTGTGTGATTGTATTGGGGCAAAGCTGTGCCACGGTACGGAACCAGCTTGGAGAGGCTGCGTTACCGTAAAATTTTATTGGCTGAATTAGGTACAGTGAATGGAATCGTAGTGCAGTGGTGTCTGGGTGGGTTGGTAGGAGAAGGATTGTGAATCACAGCATGACTCTTTGGTATGGTATGATACCATTGTTGGATTCTTGACTACCCCAGACATTGGTTGGTATGGTAGGTTTGAGAAGCACACGTCTGTACTTCACTGACAAGGTAATCAGAAGCAGGGTGTACCAATGCAGAGGATTTTACCACAGCTACGACTTGCAAGCAAGTCAGTGAAAACAATCGCCCTCCACATAGGTACAGGTACCACTACAACCAAGTCTCCCTTAGACAACAAATGCCCGAATGCAGATCATAGCTTCCATTCTGTGCTGCTTACGGTAAGTGGAAAGAGTTTTACAGCGACAAGCCGTGCGCTTCAGTGGTCTGGAATTCAGCAGGACAATGGCCTGCTGTTTGCAATGACAGGTTACGAAAGGAATGCTTGTGGCGCTGATGCTCTTTCCTTTTGCCTTCATTCATGCAATGCAATCCTCACCGTGCTTCTCCCACCCACCCACCCAACCACCATTGCCACAGCCATCCATGAACCACACCATACAGACAGATTGACAGACGGACAAGACATCCAAACATCCACCCTCATCCCACCGCGACAGTACCCACTTCCCACGTCTGCTGAGTGCTCAGAATGGAAGGGGGCACAGAGGAGAAAGGGAAGGCCGGAGATAACAGACGGACAGGGATGGAGCGAAGGAGGGAGGAGGCTTAGGGTGAGGGGGGAAGGAGGGGGGTGAGGAATAAGAAAGAGAGGCGAGTGGGAGGAAAGGACGCAGGGGAGGAGGTGAGAAAAGGTAAGGGGCCGGAGAGAGAGAGAGGGAGAGAGAGAGTGAGAGAGAGAGAGTGAGAGAGAGAGAGAGAGAGAGAGAGAGAGGGAGAGACAGCGAGCGAGAGAGAGAGAGAAAGAGAGAGAGGGAGAGAGAGCGAGCGAGAGAGGGAGAGGCAGAGGGAGAGACAGCGAGCGAGAGAGAGAGAGAGAGGAAGGTAGGAAAAACGCAGGAGAACAGGGGGTGGTGGAGAGAAAGAGCTACACTCGATGACAAAAGGAGGAGGATGGAGATTGTGGCGAGAGGGAGGGAAAAAGGGGTACAGGGACCCGAACGGACTCGAACTCCCACAATGACACTGACCATTCACAGGTGAGGCCATCCCATGCGCAAGCACATGCACACAGACATTCAGATACACATGCATGCACTTACACCCCGCCAAAACCGTTCCAAGTACGCACCCCGACATCCCCTCAAAAACCCCTCTGAATCCCTCACAACCCATGCACATTAGGTAGAAGGCCTCTCACAATCCCTGGCCCCTTCAAAGAACTGGATGGAGAAGGGAAAGTGGGCCCGGTTAATGCCCGCCCTTTCCTTTCTTCTAAGCTCAGTGAGCCTAGCGACTCACGACGCGTGTGTTATTTCTGGTGCGCCTTGTTGGGACATGCAGTTGCATCGACGGCGAAAAGAAAGAGAGCTGTTTTGAAGTAAAAAGGTACTAGGAATACACATGCGTTCTTACAGGATCAAGTTCTAAAACACTCTGGTCTGACAAGGGATGACTATAATTTTGTACCGGTAAAAAAAAGGGAGGGAACGGGAGGGCGGAAGGAGGGAAACTGGTTTGCGGAAGCTGAAAAAGAGAACACTGAAACCTGCATTATATATTGCGTAAACCAGCAACTGTCCATGAGCGAGCGACGAGGAAGCAGGATCAACCTGGTGAACATCCTTAAAGAATCCTGACGGGACTGCTGAAGGAATCCTGAAGGCGAGGGTGGTTCATTGCCAGAGCACCTCCATGGGGATGTTGCGCTCCTCCGACACCTCCTTGAACTGCTTCATCTTGCTCACCGCGTCTAGCACGGCGCGCGCGTTGTTCAGCGGGTTCGGGCTCCCCAGCGACTTCCCCAGCGCGTTTTCCAGCCCCGCGAGTTCCAGCACCACGCGCACCGCACCTCCCGCAATAACTCCCGTACCGGTCGCCGCGGGCCGCAGCATCACAGACGCCGCGCCGAAAGTCCCATCGGAGCGGTGAGGGAACGTGCGGTACTTGGTCATGGGCACGCGCACCATGTGGCGACGCGCGTCCTTGACCGCCTTCTGCACTGCGGTGGAAACTTCCTTCGCCTTTCCGACGCCCACGCCGACCTGGCCCCCGCGGTCCCCGACAACGACAACCGCCCGGAAGGACAGCTGCTTCCCGCCCTTCACGACCTTCGTCACGCGGCGCACCTGGAGCACGCGCTCCGACATGCCGTCGGACGCCTGGAGCCCGCGACGGCCGCCGCGACCGCCGCCGCCGCTGCCGCCCTCGCTGCTGTTGTCGGAATCGCCACCGGTTCGCGGTCCCCTGCGCTGCCTGCGCGCGGGAGCCTCCTCGTCGTCCTCATCGGAAGAGGAGAAGCTCTTAGAGTCCTTGACCACGCCGAACGGCTTTCCGTAAAGCGCCTCGTAGCCCGCGCGAATGTCCTCCTCGCTCTCCTCCTGATCGCCCTCCACGTCCGCGTACGCCGCCTTACAGACGAATGCGGCTTCCGCGCGCTGGCGGGGCGCGGAGGCGGACAGGGAGAGCGCGGATCCGCGGAGGGAGCTCGCGGAGAAGCTGAGAGGACGCGCGGTGGACGGGCCGTCGATCGCAGCGGTGGGCGCGAGAGAGAGGGATGAGAGTCCCAGAGAGAGGGAGGATGCCATGGCGGTATCCATTGCGGCAGGGAGGGAGATTCTAGCAACTGTTGGGATCTCGAGAAGCAGCACAAGCCTCAAGCTTGGAGAGGAAAGCCCAGGCAAGGCAATTCCTCCTCACTGGGTGAGTGTGGAGACTCCTCCGTGGGTCGTCGTGTGTGAAGTGTGGTGGGGGAGATGGGGTGGGGGGCTCCCTGGACAATCCCAAGGGCATGCCGTGGTTGTGATGTTGTGATGGCTGAGATGCGCGGGAGACGGGGCTTGCTGCGGAAGGCGGAGAAATACAATTTTGCACGCGGGGCTCTCAGGGGAGTGCGCAGCGGAGAGAGAAGCGGAATCTGTTCCAGGTTTGTACAATTGTACTCCCCGTAACACAGGGAATTGGGGGAGGCGCGGATGAAAACCCGAGGCGAAAGCTGATTGGGTCGTGCTGATTCAGCGCTTTTGCTGCCATGTTGGAGCGTTTGTTGAGCTCACGTGGCGAGACGAGCGAAACGTGGTGTGCGGAAATGGGTGACGCCTCTAGGCGAAGCGTGGCGAAAATGTCCTGGTGGTAGCCCACCATGGAGAAGCTTTTCATCCAGAACGTGTCCACACGTCACACTTTGACTCGACTTGAGGGAGAACAGTTATACTCGCTACGGAAGTATTCGACTCGAAACTGGGATTGATTCATTCCACCAGTTGAAATGAAATCATTTCGAGAAACCGCTTTGTATAAATTTCTATGGCATTTGTCTCTGGCAACTCCTGCATGCACTTTCCACCTCCATCCCGCCAACCTTGTGCATGCGAATCACAGTTTCTTCCTCGGCACGCGAATTCGCCCCTCGAAAAAAGGACGAGATCCAAGCCCGACTTGCATATTCGCTTCCACTCATGTCGTTTCTTGAATAGCCTGCTGTCTTTCCCTCCCGTCATTTTTCGTACGAATTCTTCCACGCTAACGTCTGCCATCGCCTCGTTATATCCCCGCTTCTTTATCTGAACGAGAACTCCGTGTCTATCTTTTATCGGATTTGACCGTGCGCGTCAACATCTTTGACAGGCTCGACCTTGTTCGTTCCGTTTTCCGTCAGTTTCTGCCGCATAATCCTCCTTCATGAAGCTCCGTGTGCGATCCGCCCAAGGCGGCGCCACGCATCGCATCGAAGCGCCGCAGCACTGCTCGCTCCGCGCGCTCCGGGAACTCGTCGCCGCCTCGTTCGGCGTTCCGCCCGCGGCCCTACGCCTATCACTGAACAAACGCGATGCCCTCACCGATGGCGGCGCAGGCCCTGACGTTGCAATTTCGGAGCTCGGGATTCGCGGCGGCGACTTGATTTTTGTGCTGGCGGAGGGCGCGGGAGGTGCGGGGGGCGCAGGTACCGCGGAGGGGACGGTTCTTGCTGACGGCGCGGAAGGCGGCGGGAGAAGCGGAGGGATTAGGAGGACTATTGTAGGCTCTGGTGTAGACGGAGCGAATTCAGCAGTACCAACACAACCAACACCGCTAGCTCTGCCAACAGCAGCAGCGCCAGCAGCCGCAGCGCCCGCAGCAACAGCTGCAGTGGCGGTTGGGAGCGAGGAGTGGAAGCGGCAGCGCAGGGAACGGTGCGCCAGTGCTGCGCTCAGCAGGGTGGCGGGCGCGGATGAGCGCGGAGGGGCGGGCGAAAGTGAAGGCAGTGGAAGGGCTGCTGGTGATGGGGTAGCAGCAAAGGACTCGACGGGTCGAGCAGGAGAGGGAGTGGGCGAGGCAGCAATGGAGGTGGAAACAGGAGAAGGTGCCGCACCGACTGCAGCAGCAGAAGCAGCAGCAGCAGCAGCAGCTGCAGCACCAGCACCAGCACCACCAACAGCAGCACCAGCAGCACCACCACCAACAGCAGCACCAGCAGCACCACCACTAGCAGCACCACCACCACCAACGGCAGCAGCGGCAGCGCCAGCGGCAGGACCAGCACCAGCTGCGCCAGCGGCAGCAATCCCTGCGGCGCTGAGCCGAGTGATTCGTGCAGAGATGCGTGGTGCTGTGTACACGGGGCAGAGTAACGTCCCAGGAAAGACTGGTCATGAGCCAGACGACAGATCACCACAAGCACCAGGAGCAGCAGCAGCAGCAGCAGCAGCAGCGGTGGTGGGAGCAGCAGTGAGAGAGGGAGAGGTGGAAGATACAAGGGTGTGGCATGCCCTGTCCCCAGGTGCATGGCTGGCGCTGGCTGTGCATGCTGCTATGATAGAGTCCGGATTCACTTCCGTGAGCCCTGTGAGCCCCGGGAACCCTGTGAGCTCTGTAAGCTACACTAGCCCTGTGAGCCCCAGCCCTGCACCAGCCTGTGGCAACAACAGCAACAGCAGCAGCAACGGTTTGGGTCCGCTGTGCTGGGCCCATCCGTCCAAGCCTCTCACTGTTCTCTACTCCATTGCCACCTCCTCCTCCTCCCCCTCGTCCTCCCCTCTCCCACCGCTCCCGCCTCTTGTCTCCCTGCAATTCTGCACCCTGGGCCAGTCCCTGCTGGTCTATGGCGCTACTCTCTCCCCCACCCCACCGTCCTCCGCTTCTTCCTCCGTTCGAGCCACCTCCCCCCCCTCTGTGCGTCGCCTTGTTTTGCCGTTCTCCACCTTCCTGAAAGAGCCCCAGCAGCAGCAGCAGCTGCAACTGCAACAGCCCTCCCAGCAGCAGCAGCAGCAGCAGGGAGGTGCACAGGCGAGCCCAGAGGTAGCACGGGTGGCAGCAGTGGTGTACGTGAGTGTGAGGGACATGTGGCGTTGCATCAAGGATCAACTCACTCTCCCCCTGCTCTCCGATGCCTCCTTTCGCTTCCGCCTCTGTGCCTGCTCTGCTGTTACTCCTGCTTCGCCTGCTGCTGCTGCTTCTCCTGTCGCTGCTCCTGCTGCTCCTGCTGACAGTGGTCCTATCCCTCACGCCCCTCCCACGCTGCACATCCACACACACACCTGCCCCAGGCCTACCACCACCACCCACCACCCCTCCTCCTCCCCTACCTCCCGCTCGCCCTCCCCTGCTCCCCCTGCTCCACTCCTCCTCTTCCTCCCCTCCCTGCTCGCCCTCCCCCACGAACTCCGCCTGCTGCTGCTGAGGAAGCTGCCTCCTGTGGACCTCGCATCCCTCGCATGCACGTGCTCTGACCTGCACTTCACAGTTGACGCTGCAGACGAGGTCTGGTTCGCGCTCTTTGCCTCTGAGTTCTGCCTCCCTGCCTCCCCCTCTTCTCCCACCCCTGCTACCCCTCCTGTCACGACTGCTGGCGCTGCTGCTGCTACCACTGCTGCTGCCACTGCTGCTACGACTGCTGCTGCTGTTGGGGTCACTGACGCTCTCCCCCTCCCCCCTCCCCCACCCCCCGGGCATGCCAACTGGAAGGCTGCTTTCGGGTCATGGTGGCAGAAGCGCAGAGAGAGAGAGCGGGCAGAGGAGGAGGAGAGGATGCTGCGTGAAGCATCAGCTCGTGCTGCTCGCTCCCGCTTCTTCCCCCCGTTTCACCGCCCCCAGCCCTTTCTCCCCCCGCCAGGGGGAGGGTTCGCCCCTCCTGGCATGATCGGGGGGGATTATGACCGTTTCCCAGGTGTTGGGGGAGGGGGTGGGGGCGGGTTTGGGGGGTTTGGGGGCATGGGCGGGGTGGGGATTGGGGGAGGGGGGATGCTGGGCGGAGATGGGATGATGGGTGGGATGTTTGGACCGGATGGGAGGGTGATTGGGGGGGAAGGGGATGGGATGGATGTGGATGGTGGGATGGGTGGTTCTAGAGCCATGAGGGAGGCCTTGGGGGGAGGGCATGGGGGGGTGGGAGGAGTTGGAGGAGTGGGAGGAGTGGGAGGAGTCGGGAGGAGGGGAGGTGGTCGTGGTGGCAGGTTCTTTCCTGGGGGTGGTACCATGGGTGGTGGTGGGGGTATGCCTCGCTTTATCTGACGCACATTCTGCCTCCCCATGCCCCATGCACCATGCACCATGCACCATGCCCGATGCTCCATTCCCCATACGTCCCAGTCCTCCTTTCTTTACCATCTCCCTTCAATTGTTCGGCACCTCTCTGCCCAGCTGAACCACACCACACAAGCGCACGGAACACCACGGAAGCATGAATCATGATCGAGGCAGGGTCAGGGACTGCATACAGTAACAGTAGTGTTGCGGGGGATGCAGGGATGATTTGCTGCAACTGCTTTATCGTAGGCATTGCGCTGGTGCCTTTGCGGCTGCTGCCGTAACTGCCTAGTTGCTGCCTCATGCAAGCACCACACAACGATTCCTCTTTTACTTGCTTGTCTCTGATGAGTTCTCTCTTGTTTGTACTCCACATGTTAATTTTGCAAGTGTATAAACAATTAAAGGAGTTACTGATATGATTAGCGGGAACATCTACTGGTACGGTAAAGTAAACCATCTCAAGCATGAGGAACCAAGCTGTACACCGCACACCCCAACACACTGCTACGGTAGCTGAATGAGAATGACCCATGCAACAAGCTGACAGACAGCACCAGAGCAGTCTAGTTTTGAGGCGCCTCAAAACTGCTACGGCAGCTGAATGAGAATGACCCATGCAACAAGGTGATAGAGAGCACCAGAGCAGTCTAGTTTTGAGGCGCCTCAAAACTGCTACGGTAGCTGAATGAGAATGACCCATGCAACAAGCTGACAGCACCAGAGCGGCAGCAGCAGCAGCACCCCAACACTGCCTGGAAACAGGGTTCATGTAAATACAAGTTATAATACCCAGAGTGTAGCAGCACCACAGCAGCAGCACCGCGCAACCCATGGTCCCCCAACCCGACCCACATGCCCCCCATCCCATCCCATCTACTGCAACGCAGAGCCTGCACCCCACTGCAATTCACTATATCCCACTGCGCTTCACCCACCTACCCTACCCTTTCATACTATATCATACACTACCTTCCCTCCTCTGAAATGCCCCCTACCACCTACACCAGTTGCTGGCTCACTTCTGCTGAGCCGGCAAGTCACACTGGTGCATGGTGCATACTCCACCACTTGTGCTGGGTTGGAACTGAAGTGACCCTTAGCCTTGCCGCCCTTCCACTCCACCCTCATACTTCCTTCCCTCCTGCTCATTCTCTCTTCAATCTGCTCCGCATCCCACTCCCCATTCCCCTCTCCCAGTCACAGCACCGGCGCGCTTCTCGTGCGCTTGCTCCAGTCAACCTCCCTGCCACCCGTGGCCCCTCCCTCCATGCCCAGCCCCAGGTGATCCACCATGGTCTCAGACACAGCCAGGCGGTACGTCTGCCTTAGCCCCTCGCTGAGCAGCCCCTCGCTGAGAAGCCCCTCGCTGAGCAGAGCAGCCCCTCGTTGGCCCACCACACTTTCTCTTCTCCGAGGTGTCTCTACCCTTCCTCACAGCACAGGCGCGCTTCTCTTGCGCTTGCTTCTATCCACCTCACTCCCCCCCGCGGCCCCTCCTCCCTCCATACCCAACCCCAGGTGATCCACCATGGTTTCAGACACCGCCAGGCGGTACATCTGCCTGAGCCCCTCATTGGCGCGCTGCAGGTTGCTCAGCAGCCGCGCGTTCTGCAGCTGCAGCGCCACTAGCGATTGGTCCTCCTGGTAAAGGGAAGACAGGGGGGACGGGACGGCCGGGGGGGGCGGTGGGGGGAGACGGACAGGGAGAGGGGGAAGCGGAAGGGGAGGTGGTGAAGGGGATAGGGTAGTGCGGAGAGGGGCAGGAGAAGGGGGACGGGGGAAGGGAGAGGGGAGACGGAAGAAGGGAGAAGGAAGAGGGAGTTTCAGAGATCGCCAGGCGGTACATCTGCCTGAGCCCCTCGTTGGCGCGCTGCAGGTTGCTCAGCAGCCGCGCGTTCTGCAGCTGCAGCGCTACCAGCGATTGGTCCTCCTGGTAAAGGGGGGGGATGGGATGGACAGGGGGACCGGGGGACGAGGGGAGAAGGGGAGGGGGAAGAGGAAGGGGAGAAGGTGGAAAGGAGAAGGGAGAAGGTGGAAGGGAGAGGGAGTTTTGAAGTCCTCCAGGCGGATAACGCGGGCGACCACCCAGCTATTATCCAGCAGGAAACAGGCAGCACGCACACACCAACCCACCAGCAACCAGCCAGCAGCCAGAACTCACCCATTCGCCCCACTCTCACTCACCTTGGTCTCAACCACAGTCCGCACCAGCACCTCGCTGCTGTAACACCCGTCCACTCCCCCCCACTCCTCGCCCTCCCTCTCCCCGCCCACACTCCCAGGAACCGGCACCAACCCCCCACCCACTCCCCATCCTCCCCCTCCTCCTCCTCCCCCTCCGGCAACGTTCGGCAGCAGCAGAGGCGCCTCCTCCCAGGGTTCACTCCCGGTGAGGCCAGTGGCAGCGGCGTTGGCGTACTTGTGCAGAGGCATGGGTGGGAGCGCGGAGGGCTTGCGCGCCGAGGCAGAGGCGGAGGAGCGGGAGATGTCTGACGAGGGGAAGAGCGTGGGGGGCTTGGGGAGGACCAGCAGGCAGGAGACAGGGCCTGGGGGGGAAGGGGGAAAGGGGCGGGCGAGGGAGAGGGGAAGGGATGGGAGAGGGGAGGGATGAGGTTTGGAAAGGAGGAAGGGAGGAGTGGCAGGGAGCGAGGGAACGGGCAAGGCAGAGAGGGAGGCAATGGCAGGGGGGGTTGGGGAAGCGCACCTTTGCAGTTGGTGAAGGTGCGGAGGAGCTGGCGTGTGACGGTGTCCCACACTCGCACCGTGCGTGGACAGGCAGGGAGGGACAGGGTTTGGAAGGAAGGAAGCAGAAGAGGATAGGGTGGGAGGGAGGGAGGGAGGGAGGGAGGGAGGGAGGAAGGGAGGGAGGGAGGGAGGGAGGGAGGGAGGGAGGGAGGGAGGGAGGGAGGGAGGGAGGGAGGGAGGGAGGGAGGGAGGGAGGGAGGGAGGGAGGGAGGGAGGGAGGGAGGGAGGGAAGGGGGGAGGAAGCACGGCAAGGGGGGCTGGTGGGAAGGGAGCGCACCTTTGCAGTTGGTGAAGGTGCGGAGCAGTTGGCGAGTGACAGTGTCCCACACGCGCACAGTGCAATCCTCTGATGCCGACACCAGTGACACCGCATCCGCACTGAACTCCAATGCTGTGATGCTGTGACTGTTGGAAGGAAGGGGGGGGGGGAGGAGCGGGGGAGATGGGCGGGAGGGGAGAGATGAGACGTGGCACGGTGCAGTCTTCTGACGCCGACACCAGCAACACCGCATCCGCACTGAACTCTAATGCTGTGATGCTGTGACTGATGTTGTTGTCGAAGGGGGGGAGAGCGGAGGAGAAGGGCGGAAGGGGAGAGATGAGACGTAATACCGTGCAATCCTCTGATGCCGACACCAGAGACACCGCATCCGCACTGAACTCCAATGCTGTGATGCTGATGTTGATGCTGTGACTGTGACTGTTGGGGGGAAGGAGGGGGCAGGATAGGCGGGAGCGGCGACAGTGAGCATGTGTGACACAGCATCGCACGGCTGAACGTGGCATCCCTCCCCACAGCACTGCACCGCGCACCACACACACCCACCTGTGGCCGATCAGCGCGTCGTCATGCGTCATGGGGTCCATGGCGCTGCTGCTGACAGCCGTGAAGTTGAGCGCCGTGAGGTAGATGTTGCCGTCTGCTCCCCCCGCGTACAGCGTGTACTCGCCCGGATCCATGGCTGCTGCTGTCACGGCCACTGGGAAGACGTATGACCGCAGCAGCGCGCCCATCGCTAGACTCCAGATCTGATACGGCGGGGCGGGGGGGGGAGAATTTGGGGAGGGGGGGAATGAGGGGTGGGAAAAGAAAAGGGGATAACGAGGGGAGAATGGGGGGAGGGGGATCATGGATGGAAGTGGGAAAGAGAGGGAAGGAATGAGGGGAGAATGGCAGGTCGGAGAGGAGGGAGGGAGAAGAGGTGAACTGAGTGCGTGAACGTCGGGTATGCAGGCAGCGAGGCAGGCGTCGAGGCAAGCAGCGATGCATATATGCAGGGAAGGGACGAGCGGACGAGCAATGCATTCTGAAAAGAGAGTCTCCTGTGACAGACAGACAGCAGCGCACCTTGCACGAGTGGTCAGAGGACGAGGAGACAAGCACCGAGTTGACTCCGCCCGCTGCCATCCACAGGGACGTGATGGCCTGATGGGACGGGAGGAGAGGGGAGGGACAGCGGGAGCGATACAGAAGGAGAAGCAGAGGAAGAGGTGAGTGCGGGGCACAGACCCGCCCGCTGCCATCCACAGGGACGTGATGGCCTGACGGGACAGGAGGGGAGGGACAGCGGGGGAGAAGCAGAGGGAGCGGTGAGAGGGGGATGAGAATTTAGTCCGACAGTGGAGAGGAGGAAGGGAGAAGGCGAGGAGGAGGAGGAGGGACAGACGGGAGGAACAACACAGGTGAGACAGGGCATGGCACGAGAAGATAGCTCGCCGCCATAGCTCGTTGGCCGAACTGTGCCATGCCAACAAACCAATCGGAGAGGGGGGGGGGGGGAGGGGGGAGGAGCAGGCAGAGCCTACCACGGCCATCGTCAGTTGCTACGGCACGACAGGGCCCACCCATGCCCATCCAGGGCATGGGCATGGCACGACACACAAACCTCTCGTTCTCGCCCAAAACCCCACAGCGGCCCATCCGCATCGCTCTCCTAACACTAGCTATCGCTTCCCGCCATCCCTCCATTACCCCCTCACCTTCCCCTTCCCCCCCCCCCCCCCCCCCCCCCCCCCCCCCCCCCCCCCCCCCCCCCCCCCCCCCCTCCCCCCCCCCCCCCCCCCCCCCCCCCCCCCTTTCCCTTATCCCCTATACCATCCCCACGGACATTCTAAAACCCCTTCACACCCGAACCCCGCTTTCCCAGAATCCCCCCTCCCCTCCTTTCCCCGTTCCCCCTTTCACCCCCCTTCATGAGTGCATCGTATCTCGCGCCGCCCTACCTGTTGGTGCTGCTGCCACGTGTACATGGGCTGCACACCCCCTGACCCCTCCGCTCCCCCTCCGCCCTTGCCGCTCCCGGCCCCCCCGCCTCCCCCGCCTCCTCCCCCTGGTTGATTCACCCCGTCTAGTATCCTGCGCACATGCGCGGGTGAAGGGCGGCGGGGGGGAAGGGGGAGGGGGTAGGGACGTTGGAGGGGGGCATTGGGGGGTTTATGAAACGGAGTGGGGAAAGTACAGGTGGGAGGCGGGAAGGTGGGGCTTTGGGCTAGAAAGGAGGCAGGGTGTCTGCCGTCAAGTTTGAGAGGTAAACGTCAGACTTGACGACCAACACCTGAAAGGGGTGAACGCTAAAACACGAGCTTAAAGGGTTGAGAGGGTTGAGAGGGTTTAGCTTTTAGACGCCCAACACCTAAAATCAAGGATAGAGAACCCTTGACCGGGCTCTTGGAAGTATCGGAAAAGGGTTTAGGCGCTTAGAGCCTAGACGAACAAAGCCCGGGGACTAGACTAAACCCCTGGTGGCGCGGTCACCGCCCGCCATGGGCGCGCAGGTCACACACGTCAGCATTGACTCACCGCACGAGGGGTGTGACGTGGATGATACTGTCCTCCCCCGCCGACACCAGCAGCGCGTCGTCGTCCGACAGCGCAAGACACGTCACCGCGCGGTAGTGCGCCGCCCACACGCGCAGCAGCCGCCCGGTCGCCGCCTCCCACACGTAAACGCGCCCCGACACGCCGCCCCCGCACAGGTACACGCCGTCCGCGGTCGCCGCCAGCGGGCCTATGGCCTCCGTCGTTGGGCTGCGCACCGCCACCGCGGACTGCGCGGAGAGCGAGGGGTGCGCGGGGACGGAAGGGGCGCGGGGGGGAATGGATTCCGGCGAGGGGAGAGTCGCGCGTGGGATGGGGGAAACCAGGAAATGGGGGACATTATGAATGCGGGGCGCGCGCGGGAAGAGAGAGCGGGGACGGGGCGAAGGTTGAACGACGAGAGTTAACATAAACCCAACTAAAATCGCCGAAGCTCGATCCAAGGGGATGACGGGAATTACCGCATGAAACAAACTGCTGAGAGGGGTTTCTAGAAAGGAAAATTCGACGTAACTACCCGTAGCTCCATTTCCGCCAACGCCTGATTCGACTCGCAAACGGAGCGTTTTTTTAACTAAAAATCGTCGCGTCGAAATGTCGCGTAATGGCGGGCTCGAAGACAATTCCGCGTACCTTCCTCCACGACCACACGTTCACGGCGCCCGCCTTGGACTCGCCACGCGTCAGCTGCGACACCGCCACGTGGTCGCGTCCCATTGCGCACAGCCCGCGGCGCTGCGACGAGGACGACACTAGCGACGCGAGAAGCGACCCGGTGGTGAGGTCCCAGACGCACACGGGCGAATCCACCGACGCCGCCGCCACTACGACCTCTTGTAAAGCCGCCATTCCCGCTCGCGAGGGCCGCTCAAGGATTCGCGAGCAGAGTCGCACGCTACAATATCCGATCTAGGGTTTGCGCCCGCGCGAAGATATTTCGCGCGGGGCTGAAAGTTTCGTGCTTGGTAATTTGCTACGAACCCTACAGTATCGCCCTGGCAATTGACGCGAGGAAGAGGATCGCTTCCGCGTGATTCGCGTGTAACGGAAACTCCTTTCAGAGCCGATCTACGTGAACCTCATGAGAGGAACCTGGACACATAAAGTCCATGATGAGTTGGATTTGCGCGGGATCCTAGAAATCTCCAAGAGCATTATTTCTTCCGATTCGCGTTAGTCTGCTACAGCCATAAACCCCAGAATGCTCTGGGTCTGGGCCAACGCTCGCCATTCGCCGTAGGGGGGGCTGAGCTAAAACGGGTAATAACCGTAGAGCAAACGGATGAACAGAATGAGCGAAAAAAATGATCAGATAGCGCAGCAAGTCGGCACAGGCTTCAGGGCGGATGAGTCGATTGGAACGGAGCGGCGGGTCGGAGAAAGGCGAGGTTGAAGAAACGTGAGGTTTGGGCAAGAAAGCAGTTGACGAGGAAGAAGCCACACAACACAAGTGGAGTGGAGTGGTCAAGTCACACTGGTGTGGTGGTGGTGGAGGTGGTGGTGAGGTGACTCGTTTGTGCGATGATGGCGTGACGGGGGAAAGGAAAGATGAAGAATGCCATCCAGCCAGACCGAACCACAGTACCGCACCACAACCACCAACAATCCTCTATGCTGCACTGTTCTGCAATAGCAGCCTTTATTGCTGCTGCTTCTGTCCCACAATACTGTACAGTAACCTTTTCAGGGCAGTCTAAGGAAATTGTGTACAGCACATGTTACTGGTGTGTTCCATTTAATGAGAATATCTTTGCGTATTGCAGACTTGCAGAGCAGACTGTAGTGTAAATAAGCTGACCTGGCAAGAGACTACTGGCCAGTCTTCTGTAGGTTGTCAAGACGCAAGCCTGGACCTGGACAAGCAAAGACGAAAAGTGCCAAACCCAGCACACCCGGCTCCCCTGGCGAAAGCAAGAAGCACGAGCTCGTCGATTCGCCGGATGAAACATGCAGCTTGCAACGTCGCAACTTGCAGCTTACACCCCTCGTCGTTTTGTGAATGTTGATTCTTCCACGCCCGCAAATGGACAAGATCGATCGGCGAAACTCGTTCCGACGGTCCCACCATTTCTTTTCTGTTCCTCCGGAATTCCTGGGTGGAAGGAATTCCTTCGGGCATCCCCCAACAAGTTTCAAATGAGATACGGCAACCTTCCCGTCAACAGTACGCCTCCGAAGCTACAGTAAACACAAAGCACGGTGAGAACAAAACAAGACTCGACGTTAACGTCGGAAGGGTTGCGTAGATGTTACATTCTTAGTTGACAAAAGAAAATATGCAGTTTTTTCTCATTTAGCGCCAAATTTAGGTCTACCGTTCAAGGAATATGGCAAGCGTTTTTTTATTGTTCAATCTATTCGTTTCAACGCGGATGTTGATGATTTTTAACAATTGATGTTTCTAATACGTCAAGATCTAGACACATTGATCGTTTGTTTTATATAGTGAACAATGATGTTATTTTTCCTCAAAGATGATACTTTGTATTGTAACATTGCACTATTTCTGGTGGTTCATAGTGAGTTGTTTTCAGCCCACTCAGTGTCACGTGATTGTGCGTGTGTTTTCACGTGACAATCCCACCCACCTGTTGCCTCTTTCTCCCAACCACCCACCTCGTCATAGCCTCTACCTCCACCCCGCCATCCTTTCTTTCCCACCGCGCCGTCCTCTCTCCCTCCCACCCACCGTCGCCTCCCACCCGCCGTCGCCTCTCCTTCCTACCCGTCGTCGCCTCTCCCTCCTCCCCGCCGTCGCCTCTCCCTCCTCCCCGCCGTCGCGTATCCCTCCTCCCCGCCGTCGCCTCTCCCTCCTCCCCGCCGCCGCCTCTCCCTCCTCCCCGCCGTCGCCTCTCCCTCCTCCCCGCCGTCGCCTCTCCCTCGTCCCCGCCGCCGCCTCTCCCTCCTCCCCGCCGTCGCCTCTCCCTCCTCCCCGCCGTCGCCTCTCCCTCCTCCCCGCCGTCGCGTATCCCTCCTCCCCGCCGTCGCCTCTCCCTCCTCCCCGCCGTCGCCTCTCCCTCCTCCCCGCCGCCTCCTCTCCCTCCTCCCCGCCGTCGCCTCTCCCTCCTCCCCGCCGTCGCCTCTCCCTCCTCCCCGCCGCCTCCTCTCCCTCCTCCCCGCCGTCGCCTCTCCCTCCTCCCCGCCGTCACCTCTCCCTCCTCCCCGCTCTCGCCTCCGGCGATAGGTGCCCGGAGCGCGAGCACGAGTTGGTGCGCGAGCGCGGGTTGGTTTCTGAGGCACCGTGGTTATCAGGAGCGGTCCCGGTCCTTTCATCCTCCACCCCCCCGCTAATTTTTCCTTTATTTTCTGCTCTCGTCGTAAATTTTATGTGTCAATTGGTCTCCTCTTGCATTGCAATTTCATTTGAAGAAGGGGAGAGACTCAGCGCGAGGGAGAGCGTGCGCACGGGAGCGAACGCGCAGGAGAGAGCGCGTGAGAGAGAGCGTGAGAGAGCGAGTGAGAGTGCGCGAGTGAGAGTGCGCGCGTGAGAGTGCGCGTGAGAGTGCGCGTGAGAGTGCGCACGTGAGGGAGCGCGTGAGAGTGCGCGAGAGTGCGCGCGTGAGAGTGCGCGCGAGAGTGCGCGTGAGAGGCCGCGAGAGAGGGCGTGAGGGAGCGCGTGAGGGAGCGCGTGAGAGTGCTCGTGAGAGTGCTCGTGAGAGTGCGCGAGAGTGCGTGCGTGAGAGTGCGTGTGAGAGTGCGGTTGAGAGGCCGCGTTAGAGGCCGTGTGAGAGGCCGTGTGAGAGGGCATGTGAGAGGGCATGTGAGAGAGCGCGTGAGAGAGCGCGTCAGAGTGCACATGAGAGTGCGCATGAGAGAGCGCGTGAGAGTGCGCGTGAGAGAGCGCGTGAGGGAGCGCGTGAGGGTGCGTGTGCGAGAGATCGTGAGAGTGCGCACGTGAGAGAGTGAGTGAGAGAGCGCGTGAGGGAGCGCGTGAGGGAGCACGTGAGAGTGCTCGTGAGAGTGCGCGTGAGAGTGCGCGTGAGAGTGCGCGCGAGAGTGCGCGCGAGAGTGCGCATGAGGGAGCGCGTGAGGGAGCGCGTGAGAGACCGCGTGAGAGTGCCGCGCTTGAGAGTGCCGCGCGTGAGAGTGCGCGTGAGAGAGTTCGTGAAAGTGCGCGTGATTGAGCGCGTGAAAGTGCGCGTGAGAGAGCGCGTGAGGTAGCGCGTGGGGTAGCGCGTGAGGTAGCGCGTGAGGTAGCGCGTGGGGTAGCGCGTGAGGTAGCGCGTGAGGTAGCGCGTGAGAGCGCGTGAGGTAGCGCGTGAGAGTGCGCGTGAGGGAGCGCGTGAGAGAGTTTGTGAAAGTGCGCGTGATTGAGCGCGTGAAAGTGCGCGTGCGAGAGCGCGTGAGGTAGCGCGTGAGGTAGCGCGTGAGAGCGCGTGAGGGAGCGCGTGAGGGAGCGCGTGAGAGTGCTCGTGAGAGTGCGCGTGAGAGTGCGCGCGAGAGTGCGCGTGAGAGAGCGCATGAGGGAGCGCGTGAGGGTGCGTGTGAGAGAGCGCGTGCGAGTGCGCGTGAGAGAGCTCGTGAAAGTGCGCGTGAAAGAGCGCATGAAAGTGCGCGTGAGAGCGCGCGTGAGGTAGCGCGTGAGGAGAGCGTGTGAGAGTGCTCGTGAGAGAGTGCGCGCGAGAGTGCGTGTGAGCGCGGGTCTGAGTGCGAAGGTGTGTGAGACGGTGTGTGATTGCAAGTAGAAGAGTGAGTGCGAGTGTGAGTGCGAGGGCGAGTGTGAGCGTGAGTGTGGGTGTGGGTGTGAGTTGAGTTCAAGGGTGCCACCGTTCCGGCGACTGTGTGCGCGTGTGAGTGTGAAAGTGTTCGAGTGAGTGCGAGAGTTCGAGGGTGAGTGCAAAGGTGTGTGTTGTGTTTCTGAGGGTGTGTCTAAGAACGGTTGAAAGTAATTGTGCGTTCGTGAGTGGTTGCGAGAGTGAGTACGAGAGTGTGTGAGGGTGAGAGGGCAGTTTTTTATCCGGGTGCGAAAGCGGGTGTGAGTGCGAGTGTGAGTGCGCGCATGTACTTGAGGGTAAGTGCGAGGGTGCGTGCAAGTGCGTGTATGCGGGTGAATATGAGAGGAAGTACGAGGGTGCGTGTTTAGGTGAGTGCGAGGGTGAGTCTTAGAAACTTAGGCATGGTTGACTTGCAGTGTCGAGAGATTTTGGTACAAGGAAGAAACCTAAGGGGTTGTACCCCACAGTATCTACCCCACTACAGCCTACCCAAAACTATAACACATATATATGTTTGACACACCCCCATAGGCAAAGTGGGGGAGAGCAAGAGGTCACAAGACCAGTCAAGAAAAGCAAAGCAAGCTCAGGGTGGATCACAACGTCACCACACACACTGAGCACAACCAAAAAATGCCACAAGGCCAGTTCACATGCAGAGATATATATGCAACAAAAACAGTACAGTGATCTCTACCTAGCAAGAGCAAGCATGCAGGTATATATATATAGATCACAGTACAAGCAGAGTCTACAGCAAGTGTGGAAACGTAGGCACAAGGCCCAACAAAGTACAAAAGCGCTGATGATCACCAGACGGAAGTGCCTTGGTGAATATATCAGCAGTGTTGGCCCGAGTGGCCACGTGAGCAAGACGAAGCTGACCCCGCTGCTGCAACTCTCGAGCCAGGAAGTAACGCAGAGCGATGTGCTTCGTTCTGTGCTCCAGTCTGTGCTCCTGATACAAGGCAATGGCTGCCTTGTTGTTGACGTACAGAACTGGAGGAGAATGAGGCCTATCTCCCAAGTCGGTCAGCAGGTAGGTGAGCCAGCGTAACTCCTGTGCAGCCATGGCTGTGGCGTAGATCTCAGCCTCACAACTGGAGCCGAGAACAGAAGACGAGCGCGTAGACCGCCAAGAAACAGAGCCAGAGCCAAGACTGAAGGTGTAACCCTGTGACGACCGCTGCGTAGACTGGTCGTCAACCCAAGAAGCGTCCGAGTGACCAGTGAAGACAACGTCGCCCCGTCCTCCAAGCACGAGCCCCATGCCCGATATACTGCACAAGTAGCGCAGTACCCTCTTAGCAGCATCCATGTGCACCTTTCGGTGCCGACCAGGAGCCACGTAGCGAGCCAGAAGGCCAAGAGGGTACGCGAGGTCAGGACGAGTGCAGGTCATCAGGTACATGAGGCAGCCAACTAGCTCTGGGTAAGGACCACTCGGCTCTACGGACTCGTCCGAAGGTGGAGCTGAGAGCGAGTGGCCTGTAGCGAGAGGAGTGGCCTGTGCCGAGGACCAGGTGAAGCCGAAGCGCTGAAGGACCTGCTGCAACATGTGTGACTAAGTCAGTGTGATGGTGCGGCGTGCTCTGTCCCGGGTGATCTGCAAGCCAAGGTAACTGCGCAGCTCACCCAGGTCTGTGCACGTGTGTATCTTCTGCAGCTCCGACTTCACCAGGGCGAGAGCCTCAGTGTCAGCAGTGGCAAAGACCAAGTCGTCGACGTACACGAGGATGTAAAACGGCGGCAGCGAAGTGTCGGTGCGCAGAAACAGCGACGGGTCAGCAGTCGAAGGAGCAAACCCAAGAGCCGCAAGTGTCGTCCTCAGTGTGTCGTGCCACTCACGTGGCGCCTGGCGGAGACCGTAGACCGGCCGCCGGAGGCTCCACTGGGTACCAGGAGGGAACGACCCAGTGAAGCCAGGTGGGCGGCGCAGCCAGATCTCCTCGTGCAGGCTGCCCTGTAAGAAAGCTGTGCTGAAGTCAAGCGAGTGAAGCTCGTAGTCACGCTGAGCGGCAACGTGCAGCAGCACCCGAAGAGTGGTCATCTTCGGGGTGGGGGAGAAAGTCTGGAAGAAGTCAACTCCCTCCCGCTGACTGAAGCTTCGAGCAACGTAACGAGCCTTGAAGACAGGCGGAGAACCTGACGGCCGCTTCACCCTGAAAATCCACATGCCGTCGATGATGTTCGCCCCAGGAGGGGGAACCTCGTCGACGTAGGTGCCTGTGGACTTCCAGGATGCCATCTCTGCGTCCATGGCTGTCTGCCATTGAGAGGAGTACTCACCCGCGATCGCCTCAGCGTAAGAGCGCGGGGTCGGGATGTCTGGTGCATCCGGGTCTCCCTCAGGGGCAAGCAGCATGGCCACGAGATGAGGCCCAGCGGCTGCAAGACACTCAAGGTCCTCCTGTCTGTCCTCAAGGACGTCCGTGCCAAGAGCACACTCATCCCCGATGGACGGAGGACAGACAGACTCAGACTCAGCAACAAGACTAGCAGCGTAGTCTAGACGACAGGCAGCAGCAAAGTCAACCAGCTCAGCGACAAAGGCAGACGCAGCAGCAGACTCAAACGACGGGTCAGTGACAACAGTGGCTAGCAGACGCGTGACAGTAGGGTGCTCAGCAGACGGGTCGGAGTCAGGGTCCGCAACGACAGGCAGAGAAGACGCAGGAGGAGACGGCAGAGGAACACGCTGCGGAAGAGAGGAAGGACGACGGACTACGAGGTGGGTGCCGGAGACAGCCGGCTGACGCGGACGAGGAACACGACGACCGGAACGACCAGAACAGACAGGCGAGACAGAACGCGACGCAGGCTCACGACGCTCAGTAAGACCCCCTGTCTGCTCAGCGTAAGGAGAAGGAGCAGGCAGCGGTGAGCCAGGCTGTAACGGAAGACCAGTAGACGAAGGGAGACTAAGAATCTGGCGAAGTACAGAGTCAGGCGGTGGCTGAGACGACGGAGACGGTGGAGCGAAGAACACGCGCGGCTGTGCAATGCCACCAGCACCAGCAGCTCCAGTACCCCCAGCAGCTCCAGCACCTCCAGCAGCTCCAGAACCCTCAGCGCCAGCTCCTCCAGGACCAGCTCCACCAGCAGCAGCACCCCCAGAACCGGCACCCCAAGTCCCAGGGTCTCCAGCCCCAGTGTCTCCAGCAGCAGCACCCCCAGACCCAGGGTCTCCAGCAGTAGCACCCTCAGGCTCAGCAGCACCTCCAGCCCCAGCGGCTCCAGCACCTCCAGTACGAGCACCTCCGGGACCAGCACCACTCCCAGCTCCAGTGACGTCAGCAGAAGTACCTCCAGCGGCAGAGCCCCGAGCTCCAGAAGCGCGACCCTGACGGCGACCGTACCAGTCGTGCAGCTGCTGTGAGGTGAGAGGCATACGCGGACGAAGGCGGCTACTCCAAGGAGACCGCGCAGCAGCAGACTCAGAACCCTCAGGCGTCGCACCCCCGGACTCAGTACCCCCAGGCTCCTCACACTCAGGCTCAGCACCTCCAGACACAGCACCCCCAGGCTCAGGACCTCCAGGCTCCTCACGCTCAGGCTCAGCGCCCCCAGCCTCCGCACCCCCAAGCTCCGCACCCCCAGGCTTAGCACCCCCAAGCTCCGCACCCCCAGGCCCAGCACCCCCAAAGACAGCACCACCCCCAGCAGGACCTGAGTCACCAGTGACCTCAACAGGCGCAGGCACGGGAGGGTCTACCTGAGAAACACCTGAAGGAGCAGGACCTGGCGCGGGGAGGGGGTCTACCTGGGGAGGACCTGGGGCGAGAAAGAGCGGCGGGGGGGGGCGAGGGGCAGTGCGGTAGGGAAAGAGACGGTAAAAGGGGACGGACTCGTCAAAGGTGACGTCCTGAGACGGAAAAACACGGCGCGAGGCGGGGTCGTAAAACTGCCAGCCAGGCGCGTCAGGGACAAAGCCAAGGAAGACACAGGGAATGGCGCGAGCGGAGAGCTTGTCCGCGGTGGTATCGCGGACAAAGGCACGAGCACCCCAGACCCGGAAACGCGACGCATCGCCAACCTTCCCCGTCCACAGCAGTGTCGGCGAGGTCTCCGGCAAGGAGACACGGGGCCAGAGGTTGAGCTGATGCGCGGCGTACCGGACCGCAAACGGCCACAGAAAATGGGGGGCAGCCGCATGGATCATGGAGGTACGAGCGACCTCCATGACTAAGCCAATGCGGCGCTCAGCAATCCCATTCTGCTGCGGAGAGGCCGGAAGCGTGAACGTCTGGTGGATGCCGTGCTCCGCACAGAAGGCTGCCAAGAGGTCTGAGGAGAATTCACCACCCGTGACAGAGTGCAGACGCAGGACAGGAAAGTCCGACTGGAACTGCTCGCGGAGGTGGAGACGAACAGCGCGGATCCAGGGGATCAAAACATTAGGGACCTCCCCCTTGCGCTGCAAGGGGAAGACCGTGGTGTAACGCGTGTAGTCGTCGACGACCAGCAGGAAGTACCGCTCGTGGCCCTGTCCACGGACGCGGGCTGGGCCCCACACGTCCAGGTGGAGAGTCTGCAGTGGAGCCTCTGTGGGAGGGAACGAGGAGGAGTGAGGAGCGGCGCGCTGCCGCCCCTCGACGCAAGGAATGCAGGGCGGCGCAGGCGAGGGAGGGAGGGCAGGCAGAGACCTGGGAAGGCCAGAGACCAGGAAGCGAGAGTGCATGCTACGAAGGCGAGGCAGGGAGGGGTGACCAAGGCGGTGGTGCCACAGGAGAGTGTCGTGCGACAGGCGGCGACACTCACACTGGGTAGCTACCTGAGCAGACGCGTACAGCTGGGGAGACAAAGGGGTGTAACGTGACGCAGTGGTGAGGGTGTACAGACTGGACCCTGGCGCACGTGTGAACGTGGCCAGGTGACGGCCGGTCCGGGAGCACGTGCAGATCGCCACACGCTGTCCTCCAGGAGTAAAGGTGTCAACCCAGTGATCCTGAAGGACGGCGTTGCTCACCAAGTTCGTAGAGAACGAGGGGAGGTGGAGACCAGACAGCTCACCAGACGGGACCGCCGGACACGGAAGCACAGTGGAAGACCGTGCAAGCACTGGGCCCCCAGAGGGGTCAGCCAGTGAGAGAGGAACAGGTGCAGGGAGGGGAGTGACTGTGGTGCTGTCGCGAAAGAAACAGCGGGAAGCACCAGAGTCAAGTGTGAAGGTGTGCAAGGCCTGTGCGGACGCAGTACCAGGAGGAGCAGACTCACAAGCACCTAGTGCCACAGGCGCTATACCTGGGGCTATACCGGGGTCAGGCGGCACACACAAGTAGCAGTCACCCTCAGCACTAACAGTCAATGCATACATGGCAGCAAGAATAGCCTCATAGTCAAGATCAAAGATAGGTACATCACGCCTAAGAAGGTCTGCCCAGTTGGGGAACTCAGTAGCATCAGAAAACTTGACGCGCCAGGCGTCGCTAAGCCGAGCGAAGCAGCGGTACTCAGTGTGAAACCCTGTGCACATGCGACCAGCGCGGGGACCTGTGCGAATGATATAGGGGCAGCGACCAGGACCCCCAGACGCCCCACGCCCGGCATACCAGTCAAGAAGCTGCTGGGAAGTGGGGGTCTGGCGCTGACGCTGCTGCTGCTACTGCTGCTGCTGCTGCTGCTGCCCCTGGCCACCACTGGTGTCACCCAAGCCCCCACCACCGCCGCCACCACCACTCCCCCCTCCGCCGCCCCCGCCGCCGCCACCGCCACTGCTCCCGGCACCACCACCGCCCCCACCACTACCTCCACCCCCACGACCACCGCCACTACCTCCACCGCCCCCGCCGCCTCCACCACCGCCCCCTCCACCGCCACGTCCGCCACCCCTGCCACCCTTGCCCGCCCTGAAGCCGCTGCGCTTCCCACTCGGAGCGGAAGCAGCTGCTACCTTCTCAGCACCAAGGAGGTCGACAGCAGCAGCTGCGGAGGTGCGGGGAGAGTGGTTGAGGGCGGTGAAGGGGGTGAGGGATAGGTTGTGAGGTTGGTGAGGAATAGGAGGTGAGAGGAGTGGGGTGGCGAGAGGGGGGCCCATGCCCCCTGCCCTGGCTGCTGAGGCGGCGAACGCAACCCAGGTGGAGAAATGCGATACGAGGTGCGGGCGGGCAGAGAGGGGGGTAGTGAATGTGTGGCATGGCATGTCTGCCTGCCCTCCATCGTATCAATGTGTGGCATGGCATGTCTGCCTGCCCATCTGCTCTCACGTAACCCAGGTGGAGAAATACGAGGTGCGGGCGGGCAGAGAGGGGGGTAGTGAATGTGTGGCATGTCTGCCTGCCCTCCATCGTATCATCTTCCCACTTGCCCATCTGCTCTCACGCCCTCCCTCCCCCGCAGGTGGAGCGCATTCTGGCCCCGCAGCTGGCCGCGTATGCCATCGTGGGGACGACACCTGCTGCTGCTGCTGCGCGTTACATGCCTGCCTGCCTGCCCTCCATCCATCATAGCATGTTCTCCCTTCCTCTTCCCATGCCCTCCTCCCCCCCCCTCTCAGGTGGACCGCATTCTGGCCCTGCTGCTGCTGCTGCTGCTGCTGCTGCTGCACGCTGCCTGCTCTCCATCAGATCATGCTCACACTTGCACACCTACTCACTTGCACACCTACTCACTTGCCCACCTACTCACTTGCCCATCTCATCCCTCTCAGGTGGAGTGCATTCTTGACCCGGAGCTCACTGCATACGCCATCGTGGGAGCTGTGACGGCTGCTGCTGATGCACGTTGCATGCCTGCCTGCCCTCCATCATATCATGCTCACGAATGCCGTCCTCTCCCCCAAAGAACCCCCATCAGGTGGAGCGCATTCTGCACCCGGAGCTCACTGCGTACGCTATCTTGGGGGTCACACCTGCTGCTGCCATGCACTGCTTCTGTGCCTGCCCTCCATCCTTCCATCACGTTCTCCCCTCCTGCGCTCATGCCCGTCTCACGCCCCTCAGGTGGAGCGCTTTCTGGACCCGGAGCTCACCGCGCGTGCCATCGTGGGGGTCACGCCTGCTTGTGTGTCTGCCTGCCATCATTTCGATCATGTCCTCCCCTTCCCTCCTGCTGCTCTTGTGCCCTTCCCCCTCCCTCTCCCCCCCCTAGGTGGAGCGCATTTTGGACCCGGTGCTAACTGCGTACGCTATCTTGGGGGTGACGGCTGCTGCGGGCGACGGCGAGATTAAGAAGCGGTGAGGGGCGGGGAAGGGGAGAAGGGAGGCAGGGGAAGGGGAGAGGGGGAAGAGTCAAGATAGAGAGCGAGGTTCTGGTGGTGAGTTTACTGGTAAGGAGAGGGGGGTTGAGGGGGTAGGAGGGGGTAAGAGGGGAGGGGGAGCACCCCTCAAAGAGGGAAGTGCGGGAAATACCACGAGCGGCACGTACAGCTAGAATCTTCTTCTCGGCTGCTAGGAGGTGCTTCTCGAGGTCGTCGACAGTGAGAGAATGGGGGTCAAGGGCGAGGAAGTGGTCCCTGACTGAGCGAAGAGTGTCAGGGAGGCGGGTGATGAGGAAGTAGAGAGTAAAGTACATCGGGGGGTGGTTTTCTGCGAGGAACTCGGCTGGAAGGGCGGCACGAAGGCGAGTGTCGCTAGCGCGTAGGTGAGAGATGAGGTCCTCAGCGGTGGTAAACGAGGACAGGTCGGGGAACAGGTAGGGTAGCATAAGTCGACCGAGGGCTGCAGTGGCCAGGGAAGAGTAGCGGGCAACTACAGCATCGTACAGTGCCTTGGCAGTCTTGTGCTGGCTAAAATGCGCGCGCTCTGTGATCGGGAGATGGTTGCGAATAGCTAGGCGCGCAGCAGCATCGCGGGTCTGCCACTGGGAGCGGGCTAGAGCAGGCTCAGTGTCAGCAGGAGCAACGGCAGTGCCAGACACGTAATCAAACAGGGAAACACCGTCCTTGGCATCAATCAGGAGGAACAGTTGCAGGTCGTCGAGCCAGGTGGCGAACTCTACTGGACGACCGTCAGGATCGAACGCGAGCACATTAAGCGTCGCCATAGTAGCAGTGCAGGCAAGGCAGCGGAGATGGCGTGCAGGGCAAGCAAACGCGCGCAGTAGGGAGGCACGCGCGGCAGGAAAGGCGCTCAAGGCAAGCAGGCACACTTGGCAGGCAGGCGCTCAAGGCAGGCAGGCGCTCTTGGTAGGCAGGCGCTCAAGGCAGGCAGGCACTCAAGGCAGGCAGGCGCTCTTGGCAGGCAGGTGCTCAAGGCAGGCGCTCCAGGCAGGCTAAGACAGGCAGGTGCGCGGCTCACGGGCGGCACACGGGCAGGGCACGCGCGGCTGCGGGCTGCGCGCGGCTGCGGGCTGCGCGTGGCTGCTGGCTGCGCGTGGCGACGGGCTGCGCGCTGCTGTGGGCTGCGCGCGGCTGCTGGCTGCGCGTGGCGACGGGCTGCGCGCGGCTGTGGGCTGCGTGCGGCGGCGGGCTGCGCGGGCGGGGCCTAAACGGGCTGCGCGCGGGCGGCTTAAGCGGCGCGCGGGCCGGCAGCAGGCTGCGCGGGCGGCTAACGCGGCGCGCGGGGCCGAAAACGGGCTGCGCGGGCTGCTTAAGCGTCGCGCGCGGGAAAAAAAAGAGCCGCGCGCGTGCAGCCGAGGCGCGCGCGGGCAGCACGCAAGGCAGGCAGGCAGGCAAGGCGGTAGGTGAGGTAACGCGGTAACCGGTGGGCCCTAATCATAGGTCCTAAAGACCTACTGCTCTAGATACCATCTTAGAAACTTAGGCATGGGTGACTTGCAGTGTCGAGAGATTTTGGTACAAGGAAGAAACCTAAGGGGTTGTACCCCACAGTATCTACCCCACTATAGCCTACCCAAAACTATAACACATATATATGTTTGACAGTGAGAACGAGAGCAAGAGTTAGAGCAAGTGCGAGAGTGAATGTGAGTGTAAATATGATGGTGTAGGGTTTGGGGTGAGTGTGAGCTCGAGTGAGAGGGTAGTTCAAGGGTGAGTGATAGGATGAGTGGGTGTGCGTGTGAGTGCAAGGCTGAGAGCGAGACTGCGTGCAAGTGTGTGTCTTAGGGTGAATGCGAGAGCAGGTGCGAGTGTGAGTGCAAGGGTGCGTGTGAGTGTGCTTGCGTGCGCGTAAGTATTTGTGTTAGTATGATTGGGAATGAGAACGATCATGAGTGCGGAGGTAAGTGTCAGAGTGAACGTGTAGGTTTGTATGTGTGTTTCTGTGAGTGTGTCTAAGAAAGTTGAGAGTATTTGTGCGTGTGTGAGTGGGTGTGGGATTGAGTACAAGATTGAGTGCGAACGTGAGTGTGAAGTTGAACTTGAGGGTGGCTTCAAGGTATGGCATCATGCTGGTGTAGTATCTGTGGTGCCACGACTAATACCAATTTACCTCTGTGAGGTGTCAAACCGATTGCTCATATTTTTCTATTGTGCTTATTTCGTCTCTAGTGTGTGAGCTGCATTCTCTGATTTTGTCTTCTTGTGCAATGCTATGAGGTGTACTCTCTTTGTTTTCGCTTTCTTATGCAGTGTGGGTGAGTTGTTTCCTGCTTGGCCTCCTCGCAAGGCACCTGAGTTGCATCCTCTGTTTTTGCTTTCTTGTACACAGTGTGTGAACATCCTCTGTTTTTGCTTTCTTATGCAGGGCGTGTGTTGCATTCTCTGTTTTTGCTTTGTGCAGGGCGCGTGAGCTGCATTCTTTGATTATGTTTGGCGGAGAAGGGAGATGAGGGAGGCAATGGGAGGGAGATGAGAGAGAGAGGGATGGAGGGAGGAAGGGAGGGAGGGAGGGAGGGAGGGAGGGAGGGGTGTAGGGAGGGAGGGAGGGAGGGAGGGGTGTAGGGAGGGTAAGGGGTGATTGGCAAGTGATGATTTATTAATAGCTGAATTTCATTATGGTTGTGTGTTGACTATCCGTATGTATCTGTGCTTGTTTGCGTGCGTGTCAGTGTGTATGTGTGTGTGTGAGCCTGTGTGAGATATGTATGTGCAGTCGTGTTTGTATCGTTTGTGTCTGTCTCAAGGCGTGTGCTGAAGTGCCTCGTGTATGCAACTCAGGTTGTGATCGCCGGTGGGGCAATAGCCTTAGCGTGCCAGACCAATATTTGTTGCATCATCGATGCATTTTAGCATTCTCCCCAAGACACTCGTACCGTAATTGTTATGTGTTGTCGTTTTTGTTGTACCAGCAGTACAATGTCAAGTGTGATGTTTGTTGTAAGGTGTCATGTTAAAGTGTGTCGGGTCTGCAATTGAGGTGGGGATCGTTGTTGGGGCAGCGTTGCTCGCCTTAGCATACCGGATCCATCGCTATTGTAGCACCAATGCATTTTACCATTCACTTTATAACATTTGTAATTGAGTGTTGTCGTTTTTGGACATGTTCAATGGATGCAAATACCGTAATTTGCATCCACGTTGAATTTGTTGTCTCGGCAATTGTATTTGATGTAAAACTTGACGAGGCTACCAATTGCTTCCATTCGCCGTATTTATCGACGATTATGGGATGATTGGTCTCATTTGGTTGCACTTATTTTGGAGACTCTTATGTATCAGTGCCGTCATCTCCACGTCTTTGGAGCACTCAAAAATGCGTTAAAAGGAGTGCTTCGGGCGTTGGGAAAAGACGAAAATGCACTGTTCATTCGAGTCGACCGAAAAAAGTGCTACCAAATGTAAAGGGGTTGCTACGCAACCCAAAATGTCAAAACACATTGTTCTGCTAATCTTACTCTATGTTGTGTAGGGGTCGCACCTTAGAGGGTACAACCCAACTCTCTCGACATGCTTGTACCCCCTCCCCCTTACCTAACACACATTCCTCCCTAGTATTCTAACATGGTATTAAGAGCTAGGACGTTCCTAGCCTAGGACCGTAATTAAGGGCCCACCACATTCATTTTCACCTGCCCGACCGTTAGTTTCTGCCCTGCCCAGCATTTCGCGCTGCCCTGCCCTTTTCTGCCGTGCGCAGCCCGTAAAATCCGCGTAGGCCCGAGCACAGCCCGTACAGCCCGCGCCAGGCCGTCGCGCAGCCCGTACAGCCCGCGCCAAGCCGTCGCGCAGCCCGTACAGCCCACGCCAGGCCCGCGCGCAGCCAGTACAGCCCGCTTAGGCCCGTCGCGAAGCCCGTACAGCCCGCGTAGGCCCGTCGCGAAGCCCGTACAGCCCGCGCCAGGCCGTCGCGCAGCCCGTACAGCCCACGCCAGGCCCGCACGCAGCCCGTACAGCCCGCGCCAGGCCCGCACGCAGCTCGTACAGCCCGCGCCAGGCCCGCACGCAGCTCGTACAGCCCGCGCCAGGCCCGCACGCAGCCCTTACAGCCCATGCCTGGCCCGCACGCGGCCCGTGTTACTGCTGCACTCACGGTGCTGCTTCGCTGCTGCGCCTGAACTGCTGCTGCCGCTTGCACTGCCCTGCTACTGCTGCTGCTACTTGCTGCAGCTGCTCCTCCTTGCTGCTGCTGCTGCTACTTGCTGCAGCTGCTCCTCCTTGCTGCTGCTGCTGCTACTTGCTGCAGCTGCTCCTCCTTGCTGCTGCTGCTGCTGCTACTAGCTGCAGCTGCTCCTCCTTGCTACTGCTGCTGCTACTTGCTGCAGCTGCTCCTCCTTGCTGCTGCTGCTGCTACTTGCTGCAGCTGCTCCTCCTTGCTGCTGCTGCTGCTACTAGCTGCAGCTGCTCCTCCTTGCTGCTGCTGCTGCTGCTACTTCCTGCAGCTGTTCCTCCTTGCTGCTGCTGCTGCTGCTACTTGCTTCAGCTGCTCCTCCTTGCTGCTGCTGCTGCTGCTACTGAGCGCCGGCTGCTGCTGCTGCTTGCCGCTGCTGCTCCGCCACTGAGCCCGAGCCGCGCCGCCCTGTCCGAGCCGCGCCGCCCAACCTGAGCTGTCACTGCTGCTGCTGCTGCAACTACTGCTGCTACAGCTAGTGCTACTCGGTCTACTGCTGCTGCTGCTGCTGCTGCTCGGTCTGCTGCTGCTGCCCGAGCCGCCCTGCTACTGCTGCTGCTGGAGGGAGTACTGCTGGGAGTGGTGGAGGTGCGGCCTCCCAGCCCCACCGAACCACCCTGCTGCTGTTACTACTGCTGCTGCTGCTACTCGTGCTACTGGGAGTGGAGGAGGTGCTGCTGGGAGTGCAGGAGGTGCTGCTGGCGCTGTAGGAGCTGGAGGTGCTGGACCTACTCCTAACAGTCACTGTCTGTCATGGCCACTTCCGCGGCAGTTGCTGCGGCCAGGGGT